AGGATGGCGAGGTGTGCTTGCTGCCCGGTGCCCCAAGTCCTTCCCGTCTAAAAACATGCAACAGCCTTCAAGTGGCCACGGTTGTATCCTTTTTTCTTTTTTCTGGCTGTCTAGCTGTTCAATGACTTATACCTCGTCAGAACACCGAGATTTTTCATTAGGTTCCTTTGTCATGTTCATCAAGGCCCATAAAGCTTGAACGTTTCCAAGCAACTGAAGAGGTCAGATGAAATGTAACTGTAAGAGGGCACACCCGTTGATTTGGTTGGTGGACGCGCAGCCCCATGTAAATGCTGTCCACAAAGGTGTGCCCCCGGAAAGAATCCCACATGCCAGTGTGCTCTTGAGCTTGAGGTAAAGCCCGACCTGCGGACTGCAGACCTGTATCTTTGGTCATGTGATCGTAGGTGAACCACCGATGCCAACCTGCTCTCATCGTATGATTTAGACGCCGGAATGATTGGGCTGCGCAGGGAACTGGGAAAATGACTTCAGAGAAAACCAAAATGGTTTGAAGAGTCAGTGGTACTCTTGCTTGGTGCCGTGTAGGGCCACAAGCCCGACTCAAAAGTGTACTGTCCATCAAGTGGCTGCTGCTCCCATTGGTGTTGTTTTTCTCCATGCTGCGGCCTTTTCAGCAATTGGTATGTGGCTGAGTTTGGCGGGAAAGTGCAGGACTGCGCCATGTTACTTTCAGACGGAGGAACCTTGTCAGAAGACTCCCCTTGGAATAAGTCAGCCACACGAAAAGGGGAACCACCCTGACCACAGTTCCTCAGCTTTTGTTGAAGTTTGCATTTGATGGACTAGCTGGCTGGGTTGGGACCGGAGCAGGAAATGGATCACCATCTACCCACGAAGCTCGAGAAGAAAATGAGAAACATGGAGGTTTCCAGTTACTGGCCAGCTATTGCTTATACGCAAACAAGCCCGGAGCCTGATAGGCTGCTGTACGAGTCGAAACGTGTCATCTTTCATGGCGAGGTTTGAAGCCTGGAAGCTGTTTTCTCAGAATGCCAGTCAGGGGGTCCACAAGTTTGGTTGAAGGGTCGGCGGGAAAAGCTCATTCCTGGAGGAACAACTGCCAGCATCGACCGCGTCATTCTACTTGCGCCAACACACAGGCTTCCAAGCTTGTTGGAGACGTCCCGCAAGACTAGACTTAAACTGTTGTCCAGTTGAATTTGGATTCCTGCATGGGATGTGTTTTTTGTTTGAGGACAGCCTTTTGGGTGGGTTTTACAGGGAAACCAACGGGACACCAGTGCAGTAATTCGTGCTAGGTAAATTGAGATGGCACTGGTTTCAGTTTGGCACTAGTCACTTCTCAGTGTTGTACATGTTTCCAAACTAACACCCCATTCTGGCCAAATGGGGTCTGGAACTTGGCAACTGTGCAAAGCAGACATGCCCTATTCTTCCCGGGTTTAGTGATTTGCTTCACCGGTCTTTGCGAGCTGTTTGTTTACTTTTCGAGTCGTTTGGTTCGTTGGGGGCTGCAAAACGCTGTTGGTTTTTCTGCTACCGTGCCAAGGCTTGAAAAAAGATCTGAAGATCAGTTAACCCTTAGTTGGGTGGTTTGGATTGTTTGTTTGCGGGTTTGAACCTCTGGTTCTAGAGGGTCAATGAGAAGCCCCCCTAATCACCAAACCACCGATTCGGCTAAACCACCCTTTGTGAGGGAAGCTGTTTTAGGTTTGAGCTTCCTGCGCTGATTGGGCCAAGAGTGCTCCAAAGTTTTACCAGCGGGATAACACCAAACGTCTGTTTTGGAGGCCGATGATGCTACGGAGAAACATAGTGACATATAGTGACCTAGCTCACCTCTTTTGGTGGTCTCAAAGCTTGTTGTTTGTTTGGAGTTGAACTCCTGTACCTTGTTGAGGGTAAATGGAAACCCCCTGCTTCACCATCAAACCACCGATTCGGCTCCAAGCCACCCATTGAGAGGCTCGGGTACCTGCAGCTTTGCTCTAGCTCACCTGGCGTGGGAGACCTGAGTGCGGTCGGAAGTGTGGTGTGTTGGATTGCTTTTGGATTCAGTTCGATTATCAATGGGATTTTCAAGTCCAAACTTGGGAAGGGCCACACTTCCGGCTTCTCATTTGGGAAATTTGAGTGGCAAACAAAAAGTGTCGTTCAATTCTAGGGGTTGATTCCCCATTCTTTTCAACCAGTGTTCTTTTCAATAACCGACCGCTATTTTTGTTCTGGGGTTCTGATGGTTTTCTGGAAAGATCCGGATGGGGTCAGAATAAAAAAGGAAGTGTCCCCTAGATCAATGGGATGTTCAAGTGATCCAAACCTGGGAAGCTACACTTCCGGCTTCTCACTTTTTGGAAACTAGGCAACCAGGTTGCCATTTGAGTGGCAAACAAAAAGTGTCGTTCAATTCTAGGGGTTGATTCCCCATTCTTTTCAACCAGTGTTCTTTTCAATAACCGACCGCTATTTTTGTTCTGGGGTTCTGATGGTTTTCTGGAAAGATCCGGATGGGGTCAGAATAAAAAAGGAAGTGTCCCCTAGATCAATGGGATGTTCAAGTGATCCAAACCTGGGAAGCTACACTTCCGGCTTCTCACTTTTTGGAAACTAGGCAACCAGGTTGCCATTTGAGTGGCAAACAAAAAGTGTCGTCACTCTGTTTGGGCCATCTACTCAGGAAGTGGGCAAGGGCATTTTCAGGTATGGGATTTTGGAGGCATGGATGCTCACATACCACCCGTATAAACTTGCAACGCAGTATGGACGCTTTTGTCTTCCTCAGCTCTTGGGACTTTAAACTTTGTGAGAAGACCCATTATGTGGTTAACAAAAAGATTTGACTTGTTTGGACCATCTACTCAGGAAGCGAGCACTGGATTTTTCAGGTATAGTGTTTGGAGGTAGGGATGCTTACATGCCACCCATATGAAAGCTTCTGACGCAGTATGCACGAGTTAGAAATGTGAGAGGTAAAACCTCCATACGTCCGAAACCCGAATCTCCCTGAACATGTCCCCTGATACAAAGGCCTAAATGATCGGAATGATGGGATGGGGTACTTTAAGTCTTGCCCAAAGCAATTCGACCTTTTGACACCCTTTGGTGGTTCCCATTTTTGGTCGTGGCCCCAACAGGTGATCACCTTTGTTTTCTGGGTCCTTTGGGCAACTGAGGGTATAGTGCTAAACTAGAAGAAATGACAAGAGGGGACAGAGCCCAAACAAGGCCAGGAATTATTTGGGCTCCCTCCTCCTGCCCTCCTTTCCCCCAAGGTCCAAGCATACCACATGTTGTGTCAGGTGTATTGAAGTATGAACAATCATAAGACTTGGGGAGGAGGTTGGGATGGTGTATCCCTCATGTTATGCATTCTTGGGTCCTCCTTTGGTCCTTTCCCATCCCGAGTATGCTCCACATGTAAGGCCTTTGATCAGTGTTTTGGGTACATCAAACCCCCCTAGATCCCTTTTTGAAGGGGCCAACATTTGCGCAAGCTAATTCCTGACATCTCAAAGGTGTTTGTGTTGGTACCCTTCATTGCGGCGAAACTGTGGGGGAGATTCTCGCACCATTTCCGGTGACAATTTGGGCACTGCATGTCTTGCGACTTTTGTGGGCCAATTGCGAGTATACCCACCAAGCACCGGGAAGTGCATTGGGCCCTGTTTCGAAGATGACTTTCCACTCACTCACTCACTCAAGTTCGCACGGGGCCTCTGTGGGCGCAGCAGATATTTTTTTTTGGGGGGATCAGGCCCAAAAACGGCAACCGCAAGATGACGTTCCTTTGGAAAAGGGGCCTTTGTCCACGTTGGTGGGTACAAGGCCCCAGTTCCAATAGGGCCTTCCTTGTCCAGTCTGAACCCAGGAATCCTTAAGTCTTGCTGGAAAACCTCCAGAAGTGCCGGGAGCAAATGGCGGGTTTTCTGGAAAGAAGGATGGTTGACAAGAATGGTTGGAATCAAGCCCTGGAATCCGTACCATGGTAGAATCCTGACCAAACGACATCACTAGAACTGAATCAAGCCCCAGGATAGTGTTGACGTCATGCTGGTTCTCGCCTGCGCCGTTTGCCCCATCCTTCGAGTCGTCAATGCTGATGGCTCAGCCTTCCACGTCACGTGATGTTTCTAGGCGAATGGCAGAGCAACTTCTTCCATTTGGTTAAGTTTTTTGTTTGTATGTATATATATATATAGTTGTTATACATTTATATATTTTGTATTTTCCCCTGTTGGCTTTAAAGGGAATCTATCACCAATGGATTTGTTTTATTTTTTCCAGGGGGCAAAAAAGCACACGGAGGACTTCATAAGGGGAAATGGCAAAGTGGCCTTGTAACAAGCTGCGGAATCAGGAGACGCTGATTACTTGGTGGCTCGCCATCCGGTTCCTTAGCTTCTCAGTTTTTTAGTTTAGTGTTTAGTGGGGGTCCCAACTGAATCCACAAGGTTAGTCACTTTTAGCGGGGGATCTGAAAACGGGCACCGCTTCATCCGGTCAGCTTCTGGCTTGTGTGAGGTTGATTGACTGGGTCCCCCAGTAGTGCCCGTGTACCCTTTTTTGGAAAAGGGTCCCCCTACTAAAATAGACTACAGAAAAAAGTTGGTACCCTTATTCTAGCCTCTCTACTGGAGGACCTAGTTGAGCCTGACTCCATTCATCAAAATTACTTGCACTCCTGGCAAGCTTACCTCGCCATGAGGCTTGTCCACGAAGGTCCCGTTGAAGCAGAAGCATCAGCTTGTGGAACATGGTGTTCGTCATTTCGCCTAGGCTGGAGACAAAGAATGCAAAAGGAAATCCGAAAGGAGATCCAACAGGAGATCCAACAGGATGTATGGTCTCTTGGTGGCTCCCAGCCATCCGGTTCCTTAGCTTTTCAGCCTTTTAGTGTTTAAATGGGGTTTTCCATTTACCCCACTAAAAGTTAGTCACTTTTAGCGGGGGACCTGAGGAGAGCGCGGAGACCCCAGATTCAAGTGGCGTGCGAATGCCGGGTTGGGCCACGGCTGATGGAAGATCCTTGCGGCGAGTTGGAAGTGCGTGAGCCAGGAGGGGCCAATCAGTGAGCGAGTCGCAATGATTCTTTGGGATATTGACAGATATATGTCAATAGGGCAGATAGAAGTACATATGTCCTGTAGGAAGTTGTATGTACAGGCTTCATGGGTATATTACGTACATATGCATATGTACGTATAGAGGCATATACTCATCAACACTGGTCAGGGCATTTGTATTTTGTTGTGACCATCGGGTTTCGGGTGACACTGCCGAGCGGGGTTTAAAGGGGCTCAGGCTGTGAGGTGCAATCTGCTACGTGAAGCATTCCTTCAGAGCGAGAGTTGCCACAACCAAACGGAGTCGTGGGAGGATTCTGGCCCTTCATGGCTTTTAATGGCCCCCAATACTTCCTAATGTTGACCCCGGATATAAGCAACCCCCCTGCTTTTTGAATCCCCACTAAAACCAGGGACTCAGGGTCAGAATTCTTAAGCTGCCTGCAATAGCTCCCCTTTCTATTATTTGTGAGTGGTCGATTTTTGTTGGGGGTGGCATGGGCTGGCGTTCCCTTCGATATCAACCGGCGCACAGGGGCATCCTGTGTTATCCCGTAAACCACAACCGGCCAGAGCATGTCGGCTAGGCCGTATGTGGATCAACCAGTTGCAGCCTTTAGGCCAGCTACCCAGACACAAGGTAGGTTGCTTCCCTTTTTCCTGTGTTTTGGGAGGCTTTAAAATCAACGATGCCTTTTTTCGTTGTTTGGGACATCCACGGGAACCTCAAACGTGGTGTACATGAATACCTGCAGCTAGGCAGGAATCAATCCGAATCCAAGGCGCCCCAAAAGACAAAAGGGCCGCAGCATGTGCTTTTTGACTTCACACCTGTTTTCATTCCTTGCAACCCAGTTGTGGCTTCTCCAAAAATGGTCAACCCTGGAGGTGGTGTTTGGCGTAGCTAAGTCGCTTACTGTTTTACCTGGACATGTTCAGGTAGGGCGTTTGGAAACACAAACACCTAAATCATTGGAATGGGGTGGGGTAGTGTCAGGAGTATATCGCTAAACTAGAAAGAATGACTTCTAGGTCCCCCATTAGTGCCCTTTTACTAGACTACAGAGAAAAGGGTACCCTTATTGCAACCTCTCTACTGGAGGACCTAGACTTATTGGCTTCCTGAGTTTATGGACTTGTTGACTTAGATCCATAAGTGGAGGAGCCGAGTGACTGACGAACTCTACGGACCAGCCTTATTGCCACCGGCTCTATTTGAGGGTACCTTTTGTTGGTGGCTGAGAGACACCAAAAGGAAAACTGACTCAATAGTGTTTTGTTTTTTGGGGGGGGCAAGAAAAGGGCACACCAAAAGTCTAGGCGGTGATTCTCCATTCTTTTCACTCCTCGTTCGCTTTCAACACGTTTTCCCAGATTGGCCCATTTGTTGAAGAGAAGCATTGGGCTAGAAGAGTGAAACCCACCATTTTGTTGCCCCTTGCCAGAGAAAAAAAGTCAAGAAGCACATTCATGCTGGACATGCCAAAGTTGAAAACTTGGCCTTGCAACCATGGTCCTTATGTAAAGGCCTGTCGAAAGATCCGGATTCAAGGGATGCATGCTCAAGGCGCAAAGGAGAAGAGTGGGGCACATGGCACCAGACCTCCCCCGTTCCACCAGCCAGCTTTGCGCCTCCGAGTCTGGCGGAGCCGCGAAAGCGCCAAAAGGCCCAGCCCTCTGGCCCTGGGCAAGGGCCTTGTTTTGAGATGTGTTTGTTGTTTTCCCCAGATCCAAGGAGAATAGGAAGAATCATTTTGCAGGCACTCCTGTTTGCCCCACTAAAAATTGTCTTCCCCAAAAAGGGTTCCCTTTTTTCCCAGGGTCACTGAACAGCTGAGTTCCTGCTGGTTTCTATGCCCAGGCCCACCGTTTGGTCAGCGATGTCCCCCCCTCCAACCCACCGCCGCAGATGGCCGAGTCGCGCATATCTCTCCGGGGAGTGCCTGGGCAGCGAGCGAGGACGGCCAGTTCGGTGTTTCTTTTCTGAGCTGTTCAAAGGTAATTCCTTACCTGGGGTTACGCAAGAGGTTCCTTTGCAGTGTCTTTCCTATAGGGGTTATGGATTAGGATTGGCCAACCCTCCATTTTGAACAGCCCAGCTTTTGGTTTTGCGGCTTGCCAAGTGCACTGACACTGCGGCGCTTTGGGGGGGGGGGAAGCAAGTCCAAATAGAACGGACTCAAAAGGAAAAGGTTCGGCCCCAAGAGCAAAACAGGTGTTTCTCTAAATGGGATTCGTCGCCCCTGGTTGGCATCTACCCTTCCGTCCATTAGCATAAAGGAGGTTTCTGGACCCTGGACCAGTTTCCTCTAAAAAACACAATTTCTTTGGCGGGTTCCATGTCAATGGCGGGTAAAGAGAATCCAAAAAGAACACCGCTTTTTTGATTGATGAATTTCCGGGGAACACACGCTGCTTCAAATTTCGAGGTCCCCCATTTCGAGGAAACACTGGGATTCTCACTCCCCGAGTTCATGGACTTGAGTCACTTGGGTGTGGTTGCCATTTTAGTGGAGACCCCCCCTACAGTTGGTTTACTCTTTTGAGGCCAGTCAGAAGTGAGCAAGTGATTTAGCTCAGCGTTCTGGCTGTTTGCCATGGTCTTTTCATGTTTCAGCCAGCAGCGTTGGCTCGAAGTCCGACGTTCCAACCTCAGGTTCTTGAATGGAAAGCATGGGAGAGTGATGAACTGGAAGAATCGGATTGTAGAGTTGGAACCCGGCTCTGGATTTGTGTCAGGTTCCCGTTGCGAGTTTTCAATAAAAAGGAAAGAGAGAAGACACGAGGGGGTTCCTTGGAACACATCAACTTTCATACCCCTTTTTTCCCCTTGGCCACTGAGTGGCCTAGCCTGGGTTCGAACTCCGTGCCCAGGCTACGCGCTGCACGTGTTGCGGGGCCTGCCGTTCCGTGGGGCAACTCCGCCGGAGCTGGGCGAAGGCGGGGGCCTGTTGCCGTTTCGCGCGAAAGTTCTTCTCGAAGGACTGTGGCGGCAAGCCAACTCTTTGCCTTTTCCCCCAGGCCCGCCAGACCCGCCAGACTTTCCAGACCCCACACACACCCCACACCCTCCACACCTCCCAGACCCCCACACCTCCCAGACCCCCACACCCCCCAATAGACCTTTCCAGAGACCACACAACCCAACAGACCTTTCCAGAGACCCCAGACCCCCCAGACCCCCCAGACCCCAGAGCCCCCAGAGTCCCCAGAGCCCCCAGACCCCCCAGACCCCCCAGACCCCCCACACGCCCAGACCCCCCAGACCCCCCAGACCCCCCAGACCAGACCCCCCAGACCCCCAGACCCCCAGACCCCCACACCCCCCACACCCCCCAGACCCCCCAGACACCCCAGACCCCAGACCGCCCAGACCCCCCAGACCCCCCAGACCCCCCCAGACCCCCCCCCAGACCCCCCAGACCCCCCAGGACCCCCAGACCCCCCAGACCCCCCCCAGACCCCCAGACCCCCCAGACCCCCCAGACCCCCCAGACCCCCCAGACCCCCCAGACCCCCCAGACCCCCCAGACCCCAGTCAATGCCCAGCATTCCAGGCCCGGCAGTTCAGGACTCAAGTTGCCATGGTGCTGTGGCTGAGCGGCTCAGGTACTTGCAATATCGGATCTGTCTTATTTATGTGTTTGTTTTTTAGTTTTGCGTATCGGCTATTTGTCCAATTTTGAAATGAGGTATCCTTTTGGTGGGGCGATGTTTCGAAGAGAAGTATGGGCCCCTGCGGCTGGGTTGGGGGCTCACGTTTGTACGGAGGATGCCCTGGCCAGAAAATTGCAACTCAGGCCAGGAACCCCCGAAGTGTCCATGGCCTTGTGGCCCTTTTGGTTGCCCCCTTTTCCACGGTTGTCGTTAGGAAACATTTTACATTTTTGCTTATTGTGGTTTAGTATGGTTTAGTGGTTGAAATCCCCTCTGAACTGCTAGAATTTATTTTTTTCTCCCCAAACCCAACGTCAACGTCAACCAAGTTTCAGGGTCATGTCGGACTGGCCTCCAAACAGCCAAAGACACCCATGCTGGACGCCCAGGCCCAAGCGTTGATGGGCTGGGAACTTGGCGCCAGTGGCAGGAGGCGAGCTATCAGCTTTGGCAGGACGCCGAGCCGAAAGCGTCGAAGAAAGCGCCGGGTTGCGGGTCGAATCAACGTCTTGACCCTTGCGGGATGCAAGTTCACATTTGCCAAGGGTTCTCCTTTTCGTGTTTCTTCTTTCGTGCCAGGGACCATGAGCTCGCTTCCGCTGGATTATGGTGCAGCGGAAAGTGGGGTGCTTGAAGGATCTCCCAAACTGTGTGGTTTTTTCGGGCGCCTCCGTAAATGGAACCCTGACAAAACACCCTCCACACACGAAGCCTCCAATACTTTCCCATCAGTCACTTGAGCGGTTCCGAAGCAGGCACGCTTCCAGTAGGCCATCAAGAGAAACGGCAGATCAACTAAGAACCCTAAACAATGTATCAACCATCAGGGTCATGACCCCTCCACCCCCGAACCCTCCAATGGAACCCCGACCAATTCCTCAGGCCCTTGAAACACACACAGTTCTGAGGGCCCAACAACAATCGAGACCCTTCGGGAAAACGTGTTCCATCTTGCAAAACTTGGCCTAAACGGGTTCTGATCAGGGGTTTTCTAGCTTGCAGAGAAGGAGAATCATGTGTGGGGGGAGGCATTCTGGTTTCCGCTTGATTAGAACACATTAGTGGGTCACCCAAAGCACAATCTCTGCGTAGCATCCTGGCCACTCAAAGGAAGACTTCTGGCCACTCCAGGTGATTCCGGGGCCTGTTTCTCAGGTTGCGCGGAACCTTCCAGTTTTTCAGTGGCACCCTTCTTCCCTCGTTGCTTGGTGGCCTCCCCGAAAAACATGAACCCAAAAAAGGGCTCCGTGTTTTCCGCCAGAGTCACTGGGAGTATAACCACTTTTGCCACGGAAAGCGGGCAAAAACGGGTGCCGGAACGAGAAATGCTCCAAAGACACGGGGATAGAAATAAGACCAAACCAAGGTTCTAGCCTTGCATCCCGGTTGTCACTACAGTAACCGGCAACTGTCCCATGGGTTTTCGAAGGGTGGCAAGCGCTTGGTGACGACACAGGGAAATGGAATCACTGGCTTGGACGATGATCCAGGCTTTCAGGACGTTTCCATGCGAATTTGCAGAACGCCGACCCCGGTTCTCACAAGGGCGTTTCCACCAAGAATCCTTACGGATCCCGGGACACCTGGAGAACATACCAGTTGGGTGGATTATCCCCGTAGTCAGAAGCTTTTGCCCGCCCCAGCTGGTGCAGCATGTTGTGCATCAACAATACTAATCACCCAAATAGCCCCAATGACCCAAGTAACCCCAAGCCCCTAACAACCCTAATAGCCCAAGCAACCTTCATACCCCCAAGCACAAGTAACCCCAATGATCCTACCACACGCCTACTCAACTTTATGGTTCCCAGCCATCCCCGATGTGTTTAGCTTTTTAGTTGGTTTAGTGGTTGGGGTCTCAGAATCTCGATTGTTTTTGGGCCCTCCAATAAATGTGGCATTGGAGGGGGTCATGATCCTTGGGGTAAAAGTTATTCACCTTTAGCAGATCAGAAAACAGAGAGCCATAGGTGTCCTTTTTGTTCATGGCCAAAAAATAGAGGGCCCTGGAAGAAACCTGGCGGATTTCAGGGCCTCCCGTATTTTCGAAAAAAGGGACAGCTATGCGGACAGCCCCGTCAACCAGGTGTTATAACACCTGGTCTCCCCTGCGCTTCGCATGGCTAGGAGTTCTTGGAGCAATGCCGGCGTAGATTGGGCTCAGCTCCACTGACAGGTGGGGGGGGGGGGTTGGCGGGGTGGCGGAGTCGAAGGGGTCGGAGTCGAAGGGGTCTTTGAGTCGAGGTCCGGAGCCGAAGAGAATGAAGCAAGCCGAGGTTCCCCAGCTTGGTGCCCTGTCTCACCCGTGTCTTTTTGGTTGGGAGGGTTCCCCTACTAAAACAGACCAGAGAAAAAAGCTGGTACCCTTGTTCTAACCTCTCTACTGGAGGACCTGGAAGCGCAGAAACCCTCCCAAAAGGGCAACTTTTGTAGGTGGCTAGAAATAGATGGGTTCCACTGGCTTAGATAGGTTGCATTCCACTTGCCACGGGTTCCCCCGTGGATTTGTGTGGCTCTAGTTCCTGGTTTCATTGGGGCTTGCAGCAAAGCCCAGTTTTCAGCCGTGAAAAGCGCTTCAGCAGCTGCGAAAATTGACCAACAAAGCCCTTTGGGCCGGAAGGACCCAAGGTGCGCTGCTGGTTATTTTTTTTTGCGAATTAGCTCACTTCTCCGGACTCAACGGGAGCAGAAAGCAACCGAGTCAACAACGTTCGACGGAGAAGGTCCCTGAATGCACTTCGCCGTTGGCAAATCGACGGGACCCGTTGCCTTTTGGCAACCGAGAGAATTTCCTCGCGACCCCAATCGATGCAACCAGCTTCTTTAGGCCGCTCGCGGCTCCTTTTTTCGGCGGGCACTGTCATGGTTACCTTGCATGTCGCCTCAGGCATGGCAAAGACTTGCTGAGGGGGGGCATTGAATTGGACATGTTCAGAAGTTCGGAGGCCCGCACGTTTTTTCCCCTGCACTTGTGCAGGGATCCTTTTACCAAAGACTCATCCTTTACACATGATTGGTTTTGCAGGTCCATGTGTCTTAAATGATAGTGAAACTCCGCGAGCATGCTTTCCAGAACTGAACAGCCAAGTTTTTTGGTTGGAAACCTCGATCGAAAGGAAACCATGTCTGGGGGCAGCAAGCAACCAGTGCTGGTGAATATTTATTTGACCCAGACGCTGGCACCCCGTAAAAGGGAACCAATCGACGATGTTTGTTCAGCACGGGCCCCAACTTTGCTTGGCGATTCCCCAGCCATCCGGTTCCTTAGCTCTTTAGCTTTTTAGTGTTCGGTGGCTGGGATTCCATTCAACCCCACGAAAAGTTAAACTTGTAAAATTTAGCGGGGGATCTGAGGACAGCCCAGTTTTTGAGGCTTGCAAAGTGCCCGAAAGGACTCTTTCGTAGGTTTTTCAGGTTGGTTTGATTGGAAATAGATGGCTCTGGTTTAGATAGGGTTTATTCCATTTCCCAGGGAGGCCCATCTATTTTCCAAAAGGTCATGGGCTCTTTGGGGTTGCAAATCCCATCCCAGATGGTTTCTCTCGTCTCCATTACAAACTGCTGTGGATGGACGAAATCCATTTCGCACCTGAGAAACCCAAGTTGGAATGGTTCGAATCAGCGTAAATGCCAACCAACGTGGTTGGTTTCAACCATGGCTGCCAGGCATCCACTTGCTTAAGAGTATTGTTATTTTCCCCCTGTTGGTTTTTAGAGGGAATATATCACTACTGGAAATATGTTGTTTTATTTTTCAAGGGACCAAGTGGTGTGGATCCCCGGACGCCCTCGGACAAGCCGGTCCAGAGACACCGCAGGCCTTCCTGCTAAGTCTTCCCAGTTGCTGGTGCTCATTGAGATGCGTCAGCACCAGGACGAATCCCCCAAATCGATCTCCAGGCTTTGTTTGGGCCACTCCATTCAACATCCACCTGTGCACCCTGCCTTTTTCGTCTCACTTGCCGAGTTCCTGGACTTTAAGCTTCTTGGGGGAGGACCATTTTTGTGGTTCACAAAAAGTTCGGACTTTTTCTGGCCAATTTCTACTCAGAAAAAGTGAGTTTCTCAGCCAAGCATTCCCAGTGGCTGATTCAGTCCAGGGTCTACCTCCCGAAGGGTCTACCGACCCCTCCAATGCACACCCCCGGACCCCAAAAAATGGAGTCCTTGGGGGTTGAAGGGAAAAGAACCTGTTTAGGCCCAAAAACCATCAAGATCCTTAGAGAACTGAAACTTGACGATTTCTCGCAATGAAGCCCAAGAAAAAAAACCATCGAGACCCTCGGGGCTTGAGGAATCAAACCATGTAACCTTCGCACACGGCGGACAGAGATCGAAGCCAACCAGAGGAAACAAAATACGTCGCATCGCCACCAGTTGGAGGTTCCAAAAAGGGGAAAGCGGCCCGGAAACCCGGCCGGGACCCGTTTTCCTGGAGCATTCGATCTGCAACTTTGGGCATTCCGGATTCTCGCCCTCCGGAGTGCGAAGGGGGGAAGTCCAGTGTGCCCTGGCAGACTATGCGAGGTCCCCCAGCTAGGTGCTCTTTTACCAAATTGTTTGGGGGGAGGGTTCCCCTACTAAAATTGACTACAGAAGAAAGGGTACCCTTATTCTATCCTCTCCACTGGAGGACCTAGTATGCAAAGTTGACCAAATATTGTGAAAGGGCTGGGGTTTGAGCCACTTGCAGTGATACTTAGTCACTATTTGGGATTGGCTGCCAATTTCAGTGGCATTCCCCAAACGTTTGCTTGCTTTCTTGGCCAGTCCACTCGGGAAGTTATGCGAGTATCCGGTGGAATTACAGGGAAGGTCCTTATCAGGGAAACCAACTAGCAGGGATACAGGGGGCACCAGGGATACGGGAGGATTCCCCCGATTGCACCTTGACTAAGTTTGATATGGGACATGGAGCCCAGTTGGAATCCCCCCATATCCCCGCTCCCTCCGTATCTCCGCTTGTGCGTTTGTCCAACCTTAGGGGAACCCGCACATACTTGTTCAGTCTCTCAGGAGGCCAAAAAACTTGCCCAAAGCGAATCGACCGAATCTGACCTTTCGGTTTTCCATTTGTGGCAACGATTTCAGGGGCCCCACAAGGCGATCGCAACTAGGAAATTTCTATGTCACGAAGGGACTGAAAGCAGGGACGGTATTTTCGCTGTTGTTGGCATGTTGTTTGTTGTTTTGGTGCTTAGGTGTGTAGGTTCTGTCTATGTTTACTGGGGTCTGCAAATCAAACATAGTTTTTAGCTACTCCAACCAGGGGTTGGAAAGGCATGTTAACAATTTAACAATGACCCTGGTATATTTTTGGTTAACATGTTGAAGGAGACAGGAGTGACTTTGTTGTTGCTCTTTGTCCCTCTCGTTTTTTGTTTTTGTTTTTTGTTTTTAGTTTTTGTTTTTTGGGGGGGGGGGAGGGGAACGAATCAGTAAATTGTTTGGGCTGAGTTTGTTTGTTTTGTTGTGTGTTTCTTTTTTCTCTTTTTTTTTTGGATGGGGGATGGTTTGCTTGACGTGTGGTTTAGATTGAGTGATTAACCTCGCCTTCTCGGATCTTCTCGGTGAGGGTGCAGGAGGCAGGGATGCCTCCAAACCATCCATCCAACCACCAAAAGGTGAGGGGTATTGCTCAAGGCCCTCAATCTACCACCGCTGGGTAGAAACCAGTCGGGGGGAATTTGTTTAAAGAAGGTCCTGGCCCGCTGAAAACCGATTCCAGCCAACAGAACGCTGGTTGAGGAATCCTGGGGCTGACGCTCCTGTGCAAATGGAACATCGTTGAACCTCACTCTCCTATCTTAGAGGAACTTCTTTTGTGGAAAGTACATTTGGGTCCTTCAGTAGTGCCCTTTTACCGTTTCTTTTTTGGGGGAGGCTTCCCCTACTAAAATCGACTACCGGAAACAAGCAACGGTACCCTCATTCTAACCTCTCTGGAGGACCTAGACAACTTTGGGGGCTACACCACACCTCCCACCAAAAGGAGGTGGTTAAAACCCGCCAGGGTGGGCCAAGCCCTTGCAACATGAACTCCAATCGGTCAGAACCTCCAGAGAGCCCCGAGCAATTCCTCAGGGGCCCAATGGAAAACAACCAGTGAAGGCCCAAGAACAATCGTCAAGCCCAACAAATGGGTGTTCCGTATTAAACCACTAAAAAGTTAAACCTTTGTGGGGAGCAGAAAGAGAGAGAATTGGTCCAATTGTTTCAGCACTTTTTTTTGCCTCTGGCCTGTTGAGTTGGCAAAAGCCTTAAACACTTTTCGGCCCAGACATGTTGTTTACTGGTTCTGGCCGGATCGTCCGCTCCTCACTTCCTGTGTTCTTGGCCTTACTTTCTTTTTGGGAAGGCCATTCTAGTGGTAAGTTCAGCATGGTTTGGCTTGGTGGTCTGGACGTTCGGGGCGAACCTCCCCATCCAGAGCAACAATTGAGGGGAGGCTGATAAGTAGCAAGTGTAGACGTGGCCAATCAAAGCCGACAGAGGGAGGCTCGGGCTCAGGCTTCCTGAACTCCAGCGTTTTTTGGTTTTCCTTCCCGCAAGGACCTGGAGGTGGTCCTGAGGCAGTCCCTGTCCGTACTGGCCACTGGAGCCCTGGATGCGATTGGGTTGACACTGGAGCCCTGGAGCCCAATCCTCCGGATCCGGAAAGGTTGTTCGGGGTTTTTGGTTGGTAGTGCCCAGAGGCTCCCGATTGATTTTGGGCCTTTAACCGGCCAGGTTTTGGGGGGGTCGGGTCTTCCATTGAAAGCCCCAGGAGCCTCTGCCAGCAGCCTTGGGTGGGGATTCTTTTTTTTGCCTACTAAAAGTGATTCGCTCCGGCTTTCGTTGCCAATCATGGTGCCTAATGTGGTTTATCAGGATCCAGGGAGCTGCGGGCCTACATGGGGAGTGTTCGAACAATCCAAAGGGCCACGGAGGGGGCTCGTCCGCAGGTTGGGTTTCTTCACTGTTGTTGGCATGTGTTCAAGCCTTTTTAGTGGTTGTTTGGTGTTCTCTTCATTTTAGCAGGGGCTGCACATATATATATATATATATTTGTTTACTACCATACAAAGGGATGGAAAGAGTATATTTCCCCTTTGGCGGTTTCAACATTACCTTTTGGTTGCCAATTTACAGAAAGGAGAGTGTCCTTTTCTCACTCCCTGAGTTCCGGTTTGGACTTTAGTCACTTTCCGGGTTTGGACCATTGTGGCAAACCACAAGTTTGGTTGCTTTGTCTACCCAATCCACTCAGGAAGTGACTTTTAGTGGGGTGATGTTGGGGAATTGTAGGGGCCAATCCGCCTGTTTCCTTACGCCAGATGGTGGTTTCCTGTTTGGGTCCCACGGATTATGGATCCGAATTACAAACCCCCCTTCGAATTTGGACAGGGCTCCTTAAAAGATACATGTTGCCCATTTGAAGCATGGTTTTTCCCACCAAAATTAAGGGAAACCACCATTCACAAGGCAATGTTCAGGTGCATAATGTAAGGATCCCTGTTGGAGGCTGCAGTTTTGGGCAGGTCTGTCAAGGCTCTTGCCGGACGGAACGCGTGTGGTGGCTATTTTGGCTCCAGCTTGCAATCCCGACAGACATGACAACGGGGGCCAACTCACTTCTTGAGTTTCTGGACTTTAAACTTTTTTGGGGAGGACTGTTTTAGAGGCATTGGTTTTTGCCCATCCACTCCGGAAGTGAGCGACTTGCCGCGAAACAAGCGGCGCGCAACCGCGTTTTCGTCATGGTGTCACACAGTTGCGCTTGGCTAGCGACTTCAATGCCAGGTCTTTGCATCCGTTGCGTTTGCGGTTGCGGAATGACCTGGTAGGGCGCCCACAGACTTCACTTGGCGGGTTGAGATCCAAAGAAGACATATGAAATCCAACTTCCTGCCAAACAACTGTCCCATTTCCAGACATGTGTTTGCTCGCATCTGTGTTTTTTTCAAGAGGTAACCACGCGCCACGCACAGAAAGGTTTAGACCCTAAGCTGTTCATTCGGATCCTGGCCAATGCCAAATTAGCTCATACAATGCTTTCCTTTCCGAGCCGGGGTTAAAAAAGGCCCCGTCTTCTGGTTCGCCGTGTTTCTTTCCTTGTTGAGTATGTATATTTCTATAAATGAATACCAAACAAACAAAATCCCCCCAAAACCCGCCACACTCCCGGAGTTACGACCCACAGCGGAGTTCGCTCTCTCTGTCGGAGCCAACCTGAAGGCCCTGTGCCAAGAAAGCCCCCACTTGTGTGTCGAAGTCGGGGCGGTTTGTTTCGCGGGTCGGTGCTTGAAAGGCTGCGAAGTCGCCCAGCGGTGCGCTGTTCCCTTTATTCTAACCTCTCTACTGGAGGACCTAGGGCTGAGCAATGTTGATCCGCTTGTTCAAGCCCAGGTTGTTCATAGGTGCGTCCCTGGGTGCATGTACCCAATCATCACTTCATCACTTCCCCCGCCTGGATTTATACGAGGTCATTGCTCAGCCTGGTTCGGTGGATGCCCGAGGCATTGCAAGTGGGGGCACAAGTTGGAACTCCCTTACTGAACGAGGAGTAGAATCTGCGTTTATCTGGTGGCTTAATTTTGACCCACACCCATGTGGCAACCCTTCATTTGCTCTAGGGGTTGATACCCCATTGTCTTCAACCGTCGTTCTTTTCAAAAACCGGATCCGTTTCCCCAGGGTTCTGGGCGGTTTTTTGGAAAGAAGGATGCCTGGAAAGAATGGAAAAGGAAGGTACCCCTGGAATGGTTGTGTGGGTGCGGGTGTTGTGCTTGCAATATGGCAGGGCCATCCACCCTGGGGGAAGTTCGTTTTGAGAATTCTGGATGGGAAAACTTCTCAAAACTTGAGTCAGGACCCAAACCATACCCTAGGTCCCCCAGTAGTTAGTGCCCCTTCACCCTTTTTGCGGGGGAGGGTTCCCCTACCAAAATAGACTACAGAAAAAAGGCACCTTATTCTAACCTCTCTGCTGGAGGACCTAGATACCTCTATAATGGTTAAGTCTTCATGCTCACCCAGCATTGTCTTTATTGAAGCCACCCAGTTGATCGTGGTTCTGGACTTTAGACGTTTAGCACCACTGTAAAGTGATGAAGCACTCGAGAAGCTCCGCTTCGGTATCACAGGGTCTGAAATATTCGTCGCCACGAATCTTGTGCTTAGTCACTGGGTTCCTGGACGCTAAACTTTTCGGGAGGGTCTATTTGAGATATACACATGGGTGTGTCATTCCTTGGACGTTTTGGTTGGCGTTGAAGGGAAACCAAAAGGAAGCCAACCAATATGGGGGTTGGTCAAAGTTCCGTGAAGGCCCCAAAATGATGGGCAACATTTCCCAAGTGGCGAAAGCCTTTTTTTAATCCCCGATGGTCAGTCATCCCATGTAAAGGACCGTTTCATCAGCCGAGGTTGAAAGCAATCAAATTCGTCCTCCTACAAGGGTAAAGCCGATTCCCCCCCCCCGTTGCAATTTACTGGCTGGCGGTGTGTGTCCATTCACTTTTGGAGGTTCCAAACAGGGAAATAGAGGACGGGTACACTGGGGGCTACCAACCTACGGGAAATAGTTGGGGTATAGAAGGGTGCAGTTGTGCGGCACATACGTGAAGTAATCCTACCACTACATCAAGTTAAGAGGAGATACTGATGGCAACAGGGGCGAAGAAACTTGTCTGGAAGGTGGGGGGCCTGTGGTGCTAACTTGTCGCATGTTGCTCCTATCGTCCACACCAAATGTTGCTTGTAAGTGCGCCGGTCCAAGGGCATTTTCAGGTGGGTTTTTGAAGCTATGAATACTTATATACCAACAATATATGCTTTTAACGCAGTATAATATTTTTTGGCAGTTTCAACATTACCTTTTGGTTGCCAATTTAAGGAGAGTGTCCTTTTCTCACTCCCTGAGTTCCGTTTCGGACTTTAGTCACTTTCCGGGTTTGGACCATTGTGGCAAATCACAAGTTTGGTTGCTTTGTCTACCCAATCCACTCAGGAAGTGACTTTTAGTGGGGTAATGTTGGGAAGTGTAGGGGCCAATCCGCCTGTTTGCTTACTCCAGATGGTGGTTTCCTGTTTGGGTCCCACGGATTATGGATCCGAATTACAAACCCCCCTTCGAATTTGGACAGGGCTCCTTAAAAGATACATGTTGCGCAGTTGAAGCATGGTTTTTCCCACCAAAATTAAGGGAAACCACCATTGACAAGGCAATGTTCAGGTGCATAATGTAAGGATCCCTGTTGGAGGCTGCAGTTTTGGGCAGGTCTGTCAAGGCTCTTGCCGGACGGAACGCGTGTGGTGGCTATTTTGGCTCCAGCTTGCAATCCCGACAGACATGACAACGGGGGCCAACTCACTTCTTGAGTTTCTGGACTTTAAACTTTTCGGGAGGACTGTTTTAGAGGCATTGGTTTTTGCCCATCCACTCCGGAAGTGAGCGACTTGCCGCGAAACAAGCGCCGCGCAACCGCGTTTTCGTCATGGTGTCACACAGTTGCGCTTGGCTAGCGACTTCAATGCCAGGTCTTTGCATCCGTTGCGTTTGCGGTTGCGGAATGACCTGGTAGGGCGCCCACAGACTTCACTTGGCGAGTTGAGATCCAAAGAAGACATATGAAATCCAACTTCCTGCCAAACAACTGTCCCATTTCCAGACATGTGTTTGCTCGCATCTGTGTTTTTTTTCAAGAGGTAACCACGCGCCACGCACAGAAAGGTTTAGACCCTAAGCTGTTCATTCGGATCCCGGCCAATGCCAAATTAGCTCGTACAATGCTTTCCTTTCCGAGCCGGGGTTACAAAAAGCCCCGTCTTCTGGTTCGCCGTGTTTCTTTCCTTGTTGAGTATATATATTTCTAAAAATGAATACCAAACAAACAAAATCCCCCCAACACCCGCCACACTCCCGGAGTTACGACCCACAGCGGAGTTCGCTCTCTCTGTCGGAGCCAACCTGAAGGCCCTGTGCCAAGAAAGCCCCCACTTGTGTGTCGAAACGTGATCTGTTTCCTTCAAACAAGGTGCTCTTAAACAAAAGAACAACGCACATCCCACAATGATCTTCAAGAAGGCATCCGAAAAAAGGGTTACCGCCGGGAGGGGTCGAAGCACTCGCTTGAGCATCCCAAATATTCTCAAGGCCACTTGTTTTTTTCTTTGGCACCACAAAATGTCGCGTTAAACACATTCCAGGGCCCCAAATGGGAGGAGTCGTTTTTTCCTTGTGCACCCGAAAAACAACCCCGCCTGCGAGCGCGCGGCGCGCCACTAGTGCCTATGGCGCTGGTGGACGAGCAGGGCGCCGCAGTGGTGGTGGGTGAGACGCTGGGCAGGTGGCTGGAGGACGGACGGAGCTTCTACTTGGCTGTGGGTCAAAACCAAGGGGATCCCATTTTGGGGTAGGAATTCACCACCCACTTTAGAGCCTATTTTAGTCGAGATTGGGATGTTCACTGGGGGTACGATTTGGCACAAATCCATTCCCTTTCAGCAAAAGGGAGAGGGCCACCACTTAAACTAAAACATCGAAGTTGCCATGGGTAAAAGCCACCCCCTTTTTGGTTTCAAAGAAAGGGAATGTAGCACTACTGTTTGTTTGTTTTCTTTTCAGGGGTATATTCCTCACGAAAAACGTGTGTTATCGCCCAGTGGTTGCCAACAACTTACCAACTTGGCGAATCGAACACCCAAGTACCCTCCTGATGAGCATGGAACAGACGTTGATTTGTAGAGGAACCTCCTATTGGGGGTCCCGTTTTGGATTCCATGCAAATTTGCAGGGGGTGTGGCCGTAGCCCCTTGCCGAGTTTCCAGTAAAACTGCAAGAGGTTAGACGGTCTATTAGACCTTTTGCTCAGGCGAGGGAAGAGCCAACCATTTATGGCATACCCAGAGGCTCTTGGGGCTTCAATGGAAGACCCGACCCCTCCATGAGACACCCCGCTTCGGTGTTTGGGGGTCTCAAAACCTGGCTGTTTGAGGGCCCCAAATACATCGGGAGCCTCTGGGTATACAACACCTGATGTTTTACATGAGCTGGTTTTGGAGAAGCTGGGAAGACTCGGGGATGAGTAGTAAGCCAACACAGGACTTGCGCAAAGATCGGGAAGGCCGAAAGGCCAGAAATGGAGATGGCAAGCCGTTGCAAGAGGCAACAACTCTAGGGGTGGATTCCTTTTCAATTCTTTTCAACCGTTGTTCTTTTCAACAACCGGATTCGTTCCCTGAAATTCTGATGGTTTCCTGAAAAGAAGGATCCCTGGAAAAGAATGGGGAAGATAGCCCTCGAACAACCGGTCTTGTGAGTCCATTGCTTTGCGAGTTCTATTGTGATGAGATTTGAAGACCAAGTGTCAAAAAGTATAGCAATTAAGACGCTTGTTGCCAAAATTTATGGAACTCTTCGTAAAAGTGGCAAACCATGAAAGCTTGTCATCTATGGATTGGGCGGAAAGGCAAAAAGGCTACCACTGAACGCCACAACGAGATTCCTATGAGCCTCACTCCCTGAATACAGTGTTGGAAAGATCAAACTTTACTGGCAAACAAAGGTTCGGAACTCCGGGTAATCCACTTGATCGGAAGTGACCAGTTTTTGTTGGCTTCGTTTTATTCTTGGACTCCTACAGGGGGCAACTGCTATGGGGAGGGGGGTTATATATTCCTTTCAAGAAGAGCTCACCCTTGGCTTATCCCAGGCTTATCCGGGATAGCCCCCCCCCCCCGCCACCCCAAAGCCCTCCTTGGCTTAAGCAACGCAAAGGTCGCGCCTTCTCGACTCGCAGGCGGGAGATTTCTTCTTCGGGGGCGAGGACCACGAGGCGCGGCAAATCGGCGAAGTTTCGCGGGTCGCTGCGTGAAAGGCTGCGAAGTCCCCCAGTAGTGCGCTGTTCCCTTTATTCTAACCTCTCTACTTTAAAGAACCTAGGGCTGAGTAATGTTGATCCCCTTTTTGTTACACCCGAGTTTATTCATAGGGGCGTCCCTGGGTGCATGTGCCCAATCCTCACTTCCTCACTTCCCCCGCCTGGATTCATGCGAGGTCATTGCTCAGCCTGGTACGGTGGATGCCCAAAGCATTGCAAGTGGGGGAACAAGTTGGAACTCCCTAGTTCTCCGCAATTTGCAATGGTTTTGTGCGTGGGTGTGGTTGGTTTACTTGCAACCGGCAGGGGCATCCACCGTCAACCATGGCTCTAGGGGTTGATGCCTTTTCCATTCTTTTCAACCATCGTTCTTTTTAAAAAAAAACCGGATCCGTTTCCCCAAAATTCTGGGTGGTTTTTTGGAAAGAAGGATGCCTGGAAAGAATGAAAAAGGAAGGTACCCCTGGAATGGTTGTGTGGGTGCGGGTGTTGTGCTTGCAATATGGCAGGGCCATCCACCCTGGGGGAAGTTCGTTTCGAGAATTCTGGACGGGACAACTTCTCAAAACTTGAGTCGGGACCCAAACCATACCCTACCCCAGTAGTTTCCTTTCACCCTTTTTGCGGGGGAGGGTTCCCCTACTAAAATAGACTACAGAAAAAAGGCACCTTATTCTAACCTCTCTGCTGGAGGACCTAGATACCTCTATAATGGTTCACTCTTCATTCTCACCCAGCATTGTCTTTATTGAAGCCACCCAGTTGATCGTGGTTCTAGACTTTCGAGGTTTAGCGCCACTGTAAAGTGATGAAGCACTCGAGATGCTCCGCTTCGGTATCACGGGGGCTGAAATATTCGTCGCCGTGAATTTTGTCCTTAGTGCCTGGGTTCCTGGACATTAATTTCGACCTACGATTAAAAAACCTCCCCTGATTAAAGTTATGTTGTGGGCTGGCACTGATTAATAACCCCCCCCCCAAAATAAAGTTATTTTGTTTCTGGGTGGGAGGTTGGCAGGGGGGGTGGGGGAGATAGTTTTTTGGGAGGGTCTATTTGAGATATACACATGGGTGTGTCATTCCTTGTTGGACGTTTTGGTTGGCGTTGAAGGGAAACCAAAAGGAAGCCAACCAATATGGGGGTTGGTCAAAATTCCGTGAAGGCCCCAAAATGATGGGCAACATTTCCCAAGTGGCGAAAGCCTTTTTTTGGGTATCCCTGATGGTCAGTCATCCCATGTAAAGGACCGTGTGAAAGCAATCAAATTCGTCCTCCTACAAGGGGAAAGTCGATTCCCCCCCCCCCCCGTTGCAATTTACTGGCTGGCGGTGTGCGTCCATTGAGACCGCCACTTTTGGAGGTTCCAAACAGGGAAATAGAGGACGGGTACACTGGGGGCGGTATAGAAGGGTGCAGTTGTGCGGCACATACGTGAAGTGAACCTACCACTACATCAAGTTAAGAGGAGATACTGATGGCAACAGGGGCGAAGAAACTTGTCTGGAAGGTGGGGGGCCTGTGGTGCGCATGTTCACACCAAATGTTGCTTGTAAGTGCGCGTTTTCAGGTATGGCTTTTGGAGCTATGAATACTTATATACCAACAATATATGCTTTTCACGCAGTATAATCCCCTTATTCTCTCAAGGAACAAGTCCAACAAGGAATGACACACCCATGTGTATATAGGAACAAGTCCGAAAACTATTGACACACCCATGTGTATATAGGAACAAGTCCGAGACGATTGACACACCCATGTGATAGGTGTCCCTTTAACACCACCAAAAGAAAAGGGGAACAACATCCAAAAGAGACATACATTTTGCAGACCCATTTTTCTCCGGAAAACCATCCACCCCCCCATTTTCTCCGGAAAACCATCCCCCATTTTCTCCGGACAACTTGACCTTTCCGTCCGATAGGGAAAACCCTCCACGGATAGGAGGACGAGATCCTGGAGCTGGGCCCTCACACCTTCCCCCGGGACTGGCCGGACGTCTACGAGGAGAGCGCTGCTCTGCGGGGGCTGCTGGGCAGGCGCGGCATCTGCGCGGCCAAGCGCGTGAGCGTGGTGCCCAAGCCCCAGCCGCTGGACGGACTGGAGGCGCCGGGAAATGCCGTGGAAAAGGCGGGAAAGGCGGACGGAAACGCAGGGCGGAAGTAAGTACTCAACGGAAAACATCAGTTTCTGCTATATGTCTTGTGTTGGTGGTTGTTTTTGCGAGTGTTTCTTGTTTTCAGGTTCTCCTAGTTGGCGGTTCGGGTGGTTTGGATTTGGAGTTGAACCCCAGCTCTCGAAGGCAAATGGGGACGGTAGCCCCCGTCCAAGGCTTTGGGAGTCAGCTTCGGGTCATTCCAACTCCTCTGAACCCGCAAGCGAATTGGAAAGCCGCGGCCCCCTGGTGGCGTTTTGTGAAGCATCCCGGTTGGGCCCCTTTTTGATGCTGTAGCTTCCTTTGTTTCAGCAGGGGGGGATGCGTTTTTGTTTGGGAATACATCGGCCCCCCCCCCAAAAAAAGAGATGGGGTTTGTCTAGTAGCAAAAGCAGGTACCACACTGAAACTTTTTGAGTTCCAGCTAAGCCTACAACTTGTAAACTCCCCTCTGGAAACAAGGCTTTCAAACAGAGAACTTCACAAAACTTTACAATCCAAATGCCTGCATGTCATGTCGGCTTGTTTTTGGCCTGCAAACCTTTTTGGAAAGACCAGGCTAGTGGCAAACCAAAAGATTAGACTTTGCTTGGCCAGACTGAGGAAGAGCTACCAACCATTTGGAGTCAGCTCTGGGTCACGCCTTCCACGTCGTGATGTCCTGTTCTTCGGGTAACAATAATGACCATTCTTCCCCAGAAGTAGCTCCCCTTTTTGTTCTTTTGCTTTTTTGGAGTCTCTTTGTTTTCCACTCACCAGGCAACTATATATATATATACATATATTTTTATATATGTTTTGCTGGGGTCCGATTTTTCAGCCTAGCATTAAGGTGCCGCTCGATTTCTACTGGCGTGTTTTTTTCTCTTTTTTGTTTATTCCGTTTTTGTTTTTGCCACATCATGTGATCGGAAGAACAGGGCGCCCACTTTCAAGGGCACTCTTGCCGATTTAGACCTCAGGTGTCCAAAGCCGACCTTTCGTCCCAAAAGGTGGTCACATTTTATTTCTCAGCCCCATCCGCAACTGAGATGCTTGTCCAAAAACCACCATGTTGGTGGCACGCAGCAAGTTTTGACTTTGGGCGCACGTGGGGGTCTGGGTCAGAAGCTCACTCAGACATGTTCGGCGGCCTCCAAGGCCCTAAATCCACTTCTCCTCGTTGAAGATGGGTTCCCCACAGGTCACCAACAAGGCTTCAATTTTTCCTAGGGTCACTGAACAACTGATCAGCTGGGCACTGGAAACTCACTTTAAAAATATCCAAGAAGGACATACAACTCGCTGGTGGTTGGAAGGGAGCCGTTCCGGAGCTGGAGGTATCCAATGTGCTTTTTATAGAGAGAGATAGAGAGAGAGAGCGGTTCAGGAGCTACCAGGAGTCCTGTAAGCAGATGGTAGACAAAATGCCAGAAATAGGCGGAGCTGTTTGCAGCTTGGGGCAAGCAAGTCTGGAGCCAGTCGAAAGTTGTAGCTACACAAGAAACCAACAGGAGCACCCGCCCAAAAGAAAAAAGGAAGAAAAACACCATCACAAGCGTGACGTGACCTCCCTTGCGCGATCAGATTCTTCTCAGGGCTGTGATTAATTTACTACTAGGTCCCCCAGCTAGGTGCCCTTGTTTAACCCCTTCTTTGGTTGGGAGGGTTCCCCTACTAAAATAGACTACCGGAAAAAAAAAGGGGACCCTTATTCTAACCCCTCTACTGGAGGGTCTAGTAATTCACCTCCTGAGTTCATGGCCTCGGGGCATCCGTGGGCATCGCCAGGTGCGCTACCTCCAAAGCTACGCCAATGCCTGCAACGCTGCCATCGCTCGAGGGCTTGAGGCGAAAGCCACGTTGGCACGGGGAAGTGAGCGATCGGTGGACTGCAGAACGGGGCCCAAGTTTTCCGGGGCAGTCTAGGGGTGCCTTCCTTTTCCATCATTACCAGGGATCCGAATCTTTCTAGAAAACCTCCAGAAGCCAGGGGTAAACAGCGATCCATGGTTGTCGTTGGGAAACATTTTACATGTTTGCTTGTTGTGGTTTAGTGGGAAATCCCCACTTAGCTGCTAAAATCTGAAAATTGTTGCTCCCCTTCCAACGTCAACCAAGAGAAAATCATGATACTTTGAAAAGAATGGACAAGGAATCAAGCCCTAGAAGCAGGGTGAGCGGAGCGGTTGACCTGGGATCCCAGAAGCGAAAACTTCCGGAGCGAGTGCCTGGACTCGAGTCACTTGAGGCAATTTTAGCGCCCAGACGCTCCCAATTGATTTGGGGCCTTCAATGGGCCCGGTTTTGAGACCCCAAAACCCTTCTGGGGTGTCTAATGGGGGGGTCGGGTCTTCCATTGAAAGCCCTAGGAGCCTCTGGGTGGTAGAAATACCTTGTTTATATATTGCAAGTTCCGGCCAATGCACTCAGGAAGTGAGCTTCTGCTGGCGATTTTTGGTAACGGCTCTTTGGACTTCAGCTTTTTGGGAATCAAAACAGGCGGCTATGCATTGGACCCACGACAAGTTACCGTTAAACCTGTACAGCCAAGCCTTTTGATATCAGTTTTCCCTGTTCGAGCTTCACGAAGGGCAAGCATGCAAAATACGCTGTTGAGGTTGGTGTCTTGGCACCCTGACACGCAAACAATGGTGTCCTTGGATCGTTCTTCTTTTCTTTTTCCGCAAGGCATGCAACGGCCACTAGATCCTGTGCCAAGCGCCGTAGGCGATTGAATGCCTACTTCCCAGAGGCTCCCGATAAATTCAGGGCCTTCAAACATGGTGTTGAGACCGGGTCCCAACCACCGATTCCCGGGGTGTCGTTTTGGAGGGGCCGGGTCTTCCATTGAAAGTTCCAGGGCCCAGGAGCCGCGGCCCCTTGAGTCGTCTTCGGACGGGGTCGGTCAGCTTCGCCTGGCCGGCTCCAAGAGGGTTGTTGTTGGCGATGTTTTTGTTTAATATTAGTTGCCCTTTGGTTGGGTTCATTTTTCGGGTGGAGGGGGGGGGCCCGTGTTTTGCAGTTGTTTTTTGCTTCGTTCATTTTTAGGTTGGGGGGGGCTGTGTTTTGCAGTTGTCGTTTGGTTCTGTTCATGTTTAGAGTGGGGGGGGGCTGCATGTTGCCGGGGCATGAGTTGGGCCAAACTGCACCAATGGGTGTGGAGCGATTCGTATGTTGGGTCTTGTTTTGCCACAAGGCACATCCCCTTTTTCCTGGGATCTCGGGCTAAATGCAGTGCATGCACAACTTCCTGCACCAACTAGTGTGTGGTTATCCAAGTTTTAGCAAACAAATCTAGGCTTTTATCCATCCCAACTGGGGTGAAGTAGAATTCGTCCATCCACACATCGTGGCCCAGAATCCGATTCTTGCCGAGCTGTTAGGGTTCTATTCGCAGCTTCCATGAAGGGTTCGAGGGCCCCGAGGGCTGTTTAGGATACCACCCGAGCCAAACAGTAGATCTCATCTACCCTTACAGTAGGTAACCAGCTATTTTCCTTTTGGTTTTCGATGGGTGGTTGCGTCGGTTCCCTACAAAACCCAGTTGCTCAGTGGTGCCAACTTTTTCCTTTCTGTTGGGCATTTAATCCGCTAAAAGTTATTCACTTTCGGCAGAAGGTCTCAAAACAACCCACGCACGAATAGGCACACTGCTTTGGTCCTGAAACCACTGCTGATTTTAATGGGAATCGATTTCACTACTGGAAATATGCCCTTTTTTTTTCCAGGGGCCTTCAGCAAATGGAAGCTTTGGAGCCCGCGGCCCCCGGCTTTTTCACCGCAGGTCGTGGAAGGCTGGGCCATCTACGACCTCTTGGACGATGTGACGGGCGCGGCCTTCCTGGCTGAGAGGTGTCTCAGATTGAACCTGGGGCGGCGAAAGGAGAACAAACCACCGGCGGAATCTTTAACCTATAACCTAGGTCCCCAGCTAGGTGCCCTTTTTAACCCCTTCTTTGGTGGGGAGGGTTCGGGACCCTACTAAAATAGCCTACGGAAAAAAAAGGGGACCCTTATTCTAACCTCTCTACTGGAGGGTCTAGTAACTCACTTCCTGAGTTCATGGCCTTAAAACTTGTTGGAAAGAGCATGTTCGTGGTAAAGTGGTAAAAAAGAAGAAATGAACGCAACAAGTTGCGTCCTTAACGTACTGTGGATGGTTGCGAAATCTATTTTGTTAGGCACCACCTACGAATCCCCGGGGTGAGCCTTTGCCAAGGGTTCATAGTATCTCAGTCCCTGAGTTCATGTTGACTTTGGTCAATGACTTCCTGAGTTCATGGACTTTAGAGTGAGTGGCAAACAACAAGTGTTGATGCACTCAGGAAGTGGGGTCGCCTTGTGGAGAAAGACCTTCTTAGTGGCAAATAAGAAGTTCCTCGACCTTCTTTCTTTGGACAAGTTGCGCCCTGAACATATAATTCACTTCCTGAGCTCCTGAACTTTAGTCACTTCTTAGGAAGACCATTTGAGCGGCAAACAACTGGCTACTTTTGTTGGCCAACCCAACGCACAATTCTAGTGAGATAGTGACTCAATACAGAGTTCCCTATAGTTCCCCGTTTGGTGTTTTCAATCATCATCAATCGGGCTGTTTAAGACAATTCAAGTGATGTTCCTTTTTATAAAGGGAAAACATCGGTCATTCGATAGGGAACCTTGTAATATGGTAACTACCCCACAATCCCATTCTGATTATTCAAAGACTTCGTCCATTGTTGGCAGATGCGGATGTCTCCCAGACTTGACCCCTCCAGATGGCTGGCTTTCTTTAGTTTCCCCAACCCAAAAGAGCTGCCCTGGTTTGAGACCTTTGCGTATTTGTGTGTTCTTATCGTTTGTGTCATGTTTTCTTCCTCATGTTTATCTTTATGTTTTTCTTGATCTTCTTTTGTTAGTGTGTTGTTTGCATATTCAAAAAGTAAGCTAGGATTATTTATAAACACTTCGTTACATGTTTTTTTCTAGATGCACTGTTTGATTCACTAGAGTATTTGAACTTAATAAATGGCCTAATCGAAGCTTCGTACTTAAATAGGTAAGGATGGGATATCCAAAGGTAAGCAGAATAGATATGTATGTTTGTTTTCTTTTCTTGAATAATGGCTCCAAAGAAGTACCATGTTGATTAAACATATAGATTAAAACCTGCTGTAGCTCTTAGCCACTACCTAAAGCATGTATATCCCCAAGTTCCCCCATCCAAAAAGAGCTGCCATAGTTTGAGACAGACCCCCTTGGCTGGACATGTATGTGTGCATGTGGGTGTGCGGATGCGTGTGTACGTCTTGCCCCTTTTCCCCAAAAAAGGTCCCTTTGACAAAGAGCAAGGTGCTGAATCTCACAGATTGTTTAACCTACAGGGACACCCAAAGGGGATTGGGTAATTTTCAAAGGTTGAGACCTTGTTTGAGCATACCAGTGTTTTTTTGCCAGATCTACTCTCGCACTGACCGTTGGTGGGACAACATGACACTTCAGTTCGCCCCGACTTGCCATTGCTACTTGCGGGACAAAGGCGTGAGAGAAGGGGAGGCAGAGAGAGGGCCTCCCACCACAACATGGAATGCGCCACTGATTCTTTTTTGAGAAAACTGGTATTCCAGGAACCCCCTTACACGTCAGGTTCGATGTTGGCCTTGTATTTTTCCTTGTAGCTGCAAGGTATTGGTGGAATGCCGGACCGGACGGGACCTGGTACGACTACTCCCCGTTCCCGGAGAACATGGAGTTCATGCTCCTTGCGGAAGCCTTTTGTCCTACAGGCCGATCGATCGGGACATCGGAGGAAATCCCCCGTGTAGAACCCGGCACTAAAAGAAACAAACGTATCAATCAAGCAGGGGTTTATTAATCCGGGGTTAACATTACGAGGCAAAATGCGAGTTGGACGTCTTACCTTGCCAGCAACTTCAATCGAGTCAGTCCGGTACTTGGAGACTTTGCAAGGGACAATCCCAACCATAAATGGGTGCGGAGATCCGCCGCTTTTCAATTTGTTGCATTGGTTTGGGTAGACCTTTTTGACATTGGATTGACAATTTTTGACATTGGTTTTTGACATTGGTTTCGTTAATACTGGATTTCGATCCTTTTGTGGAATCCCATTCCGGGGGGTAGGTACGAGGGAGTAGTTGAGTCCTTCGGATTCCTTAGTAGGGAACCCCCTTGCTGGGACCGCCCCCCCGTAAAGCCACAAACCTTCAAGTCGTTTGAGTGTGTCTTTTTGAGGTTGCCACTTTTTGTCGGTTTTGCGGGTTTGGGTGCGCCTCGGGCAACCTATTGTTGGCGGGTCGCCCAAAAAAAGGGACACCCGTGTGCTCAATCGCCCGCTTCTTCTCCCACCCATGGTTTGGCGTGGGCCCCTGTCATTCTTGCAGGCTGATGGGCACCGTACAAGGTGCCAAGTCATTGCTCATGTTTTTTTCTTAGTATCATGGTGTGTGTGTGTGTGCCATCCCCCTCAGACCGCACGCTTTTTATACACCGGGCCAATTTGCGGCGGAGCGGATTGAAGCGGGGTGGCGAAACCAAAATGAAATTGACTTCCCAGTTGTCTTCCACCCAACTGTTGGGCCCCGCAAAAATGGTCCAATCAGGGGCACTCCTCAACAGATGGCTTCCCATCTGGCTTCCCACACCGACCAGAAAAGGTACACTGAAATTCACACCCAGCTTTCTACTCTGGAAAACGCTTCGGACGCGCATCTTTTGCGGCTTTTACACCTCTTCTTCCCCCTGTTGCTCCTTTTTTTTGGATTGTCACTCGTTTTGGTGTGCTACCGGGGATCCACAGACTCGCCGCGTCTTTACCACCCGCAGGACCACGGGAGCCAGAAGCGCTCACGCAGCAGCAGCAGGCGCTGGCGGAGCTGCTGCTGCGGCGCCGCTTCCCCAAGGCATGGGCTGTTGGGAAGTTGTTTCTTTCTTTTATATATATATATATATATTATTATGTGTTGTTTTGCTTGTTGTGGTTTTAGATTTAAATGTTGAATGTTTGTGGTTCAGATTGTGCTTATTGTGGTTTAAACTTTACTATGGGTGGTTGTTGGGAAACAGTTGTTTCCCATGTGTGCTTGTCGATTTATGTAAACGTATTCTCAGTTGTTCAAAACCGACCTTTTGAACTTTTGGTTTTCCTGTTTAGTAAAGGTCCCAGAAGGTGAACCTTTTATTTCCGGGCCTTTTGGGCAACTAAGTTTATGTAAATGTATTGCACCATGGCCCCGTTGAAGCTAAAAAGTAATTTCTGGGGTTCAAACCACCATTAGAAATGGGGGGTTCATATGACCATCATGATTTACCTAAGGATTGGCATCCTCCAAATCGGGTCAACCATTCTTTTCACGAGAGTTGCATGGTTGTTGTTGGGAAACATGTTTACGTTTGTTGGCTTATCGTGGTTATTTGTTGCGCATGTGCCTATTGTTGGGAACGATTCCCCCATGTTGTTTTTGGGAAATCGCACCACTTGCAGTGTTGCTTATTGACTTATGTAAATGTGTGTTCCATCTTATTGCATTTTGCTTGTTTACATTTATGTTTATTTCAATCTTTGCGTATTATTACATTACATCTATGTACAATTAATGTATTTTTGCTTTTTTACATGTTTGCTTTGCTTATTTAGGCATGGTGGTTGTTTGCCAAGGCATGTATTTCCCACGAAACCATTTTATGTGTTTGCTTGTCGTGGTTTAGTGGTGGAAATCCAACCACTTAACTACTAAGATTAAAATTGCTTAACTACTATCTACTAAGATTAGATTGCTAAACATTATTTTGCTTACTTAGCAAATATGTTTTGTTTGCTCCCTAACTACTAAAATGTGACTTTTGTTGCTCCCCTTCCAACGTCAACCAAGAAGGCGCGCCGCGCCAAGCTGGGCCTTGTGACGCTCAAAGCGCCGCCGCTGCCGGAGCCCAAAGCGGCGCCGGAGTTGCCGGAGGCGGAGCCGGCGGAGGCGGCGGGCAAGAGAGCGCAACTCGGTCCCCCAGCTAGGTGCCCATTTTTGTCTTCTTTCTTGGTTGGGGTTTCCCTACTCCTGTTGACCCCAGATTAATAAACCCCTGTTAATTATTTTTTTGGTGTTCCCCTCCAAAAGTGATAAATCCCCACTAAAGCCGGGGACACCCCCTATTAATAAACAGGGGTTTATGAATCCGGGGTCAACATTAAAATAGACTACAGAAGAAGGATACCGTTATTCTAACCTCTGGAGGACCTAGGATTTGGATCCCTTGAAGGGTCCCCGGCAAGGTTCCCTTGGAATTCTTGGGCATGTTTGCCCTGGAGACGGATGCCAGGGGCCAGCCTTGGAGCTTCGCAGCCATCCGGCTCGTAAGTTCGCTTTTGAGTTGGCTTAGTGGTTGGGTTTCCGAACTTAACCCACTAAAAGCTATTCACTTTGAGGGGATCTGAGCACAGCTCGCCAGCTGATTTCGAGCATCCCGCCTGTAAATCATGTGGTTTCTGGATGTATCCTTTAGGAAAAGAGAGAGGCAGACGGAAAACGCCTCCCTCCACTTTTTTTGGGGAGAGGAATCGGTTCCGTGGCCTCTTTTTTTGGGGGTTCCATGCCCCTCGCCTTGGCGCGTCTTTTCGGGATTTCAACTTTGGGCGCCAAAGAGGGTTTCCGAATTGAAAGGAACCTAAAATGCATTCGATTTGTTTGGGTTCCCTCCATTTCCCTGAAGGAACCTCCAAAGGGCGAATGAATCACCTTTTGATTTGGGGAAATCCAGGCAGATGTTGCCGAACAATTCTTCGCGCCCAATCCTTTCCGTAGCTTTCGTCCTTGGATGTTGGCGGTTTGCAGGGCTGCACGCCTCAAACATAGGGAATCCGTAAGGGGCGGGGGGGTGGTCCAAAGGGGGGCAGCTCCCTAAGACGCCCAAAGATTTTCCAAGGAACTCTAAAAAAGCGAAAGATCTCTACCCCTGAAGCTCACTTCCTGAGTTCATGAACTTTAAACTTTTTGGGAAGACCATTTTAGTGGTAAATATACAGTTTGAACTTTTTTTGGGCCATCCACTCAGCAAGTGAGGACGAGGATTCCAGAACAAAATCCCAAAGGCACAGGTGTAAACAGTTTGCATAGAGCTCCTTTGCGTTTGTTTGGGCTCGCCTCTTTTTCCTTTGCTCCCTTGTGCAAAGAGCCTCGGGAACCATGCAACGGAAAGCTGGTTGAATTCGGGAGGTTTCCCCCAACCCAACACATGGGCATGGGTCAAAGTTGAACCACCAGGATATGGACCGCAGGCTTTATTTGCCAGGCTTCCATTTTGGGTACCTAGTTTTGAGCCACACCCAGATTTGGCTTACACTCCTCAACCATGGTTTCAAGCTCGGCCTCAAGTGCCAGAAATTTGGGCTCTCTCTTTTCTGGTAGGACCGCCACCCTCTCAGGGCCTTAGGACAGCTGTGATTTGTTTGTGAAAAAAACCGCTCCGCCAATCCCACTCCCAGCCTAAAGCTTTGGAGACGTGTGGTGCGAAACCAGCCATCCGGTTCCTGAAACTTTGGTGCATTTTGCCCAGGGATGTTAGGCTCATGGGTTTTCCGGCTAAACTTTTAGCAGGGGTGCAGAAAGCGAAGAGGAAAGGTGTTCGGGCTTTTTAGTTGGGCTAGTGGTGGGGTGTTTCGAAATCAACCCATATTTGTTTAGTCACGTTTAGCATAGGGGACTTCAGCACAGTCGGGGGTTCCAGTGAATCTTGTATCAGATGTGCGTCAACATTTCGGGGGACCCCCCTGCAACGGGCGGTTTCCTTGCGGCGAAGGGGGCACGCTCAGCAACACACCCATACCGTTCATGGACGATACTGTGGGTGGGCAGAATCCTGCACCACTTTGAAATTTTGGGCAGCCATTTGATTGTTGGTAATTATTTACAGAGGAATCAACATTCCACGGTTTCTTAGGTGGTGCGAAATGGATTTCATCAATCCACATAGTAGTAGGTTGTTGCTCTTCATAGGGTTTCATCGCCCATCCGCGGCTTCTTCGACCAATCCCCAGCCGCAAGGATGCGCCGGCGCCGATTCCGGAGCCGGAAGCAGCGTGCGCCTCCGGGGAAGTAGCGCCCGAGCAACCGCTGAAGCATTGCCAGACTTTAGCCTCACTCCCGAAGTTCATGGGCTTGATGCTTTTTGGGTTTGGTTGCCAGTTTTGGCAAACAGATTGCTTGATTTCTTTGGCCAATCCACTCGATCGAAAGTGAGTAGCTTACATGTTTTGGTTTTTTGTTTTCTTGTGCCTTTCTGCTTTTTGGCTTGGCTTTCTGGTAGCTGAATGGCGTTTCTGGCGCGGTGTTCTTGAGGACGGGGCAGCAACCACAATCGGAGCAGCGAGAGCAGCCAGAGCCGGAGCAAGCCGAGCCAGCAGAGCAACCGGAGCAGCAGGAGGAACGAGAGGCGACACCTGAGCCGGCACCGCCAGAGCCTGTCGAGGACGGATTGCTTGCCCGAGGTGTTTTTGTCGTCTTTACGCAGGTGGTGGGCGTTTCCATGTTACAGGGGCTTCCTTTTCCCAACTCACCAAAATGCCTCCAACTCTCCCCCCCTTTTCACTTACTCTTGACGTGCTTGCGGTTTCTTTGTGCGGGGGAATCAAAGGCTACCAGACTACCTTTCGGGAAGTCCCAGGTGGCAAATTATTTGGCGAAAGCAGCCCAGTTTCTCTTGGCCTTCGATTGTGGCGCGGTGCTTGTGTTGAGGCTACAAGTCTCGTGTGCCAGCATCCAAGCCTCGCGATCATAGGTGTCCTTTTTGGTTGGTTTGGTTAAACAATAGAGGGCCCTGGTTTTGATGGTTTATTCTATTCACCAGGGCCATCTATTTTTCCCAAAATGCAATCTATGCGCGTGATGGTTAGTTACTCATTTGTGGGGGGGTTCCCTTCAAAGCACGACACACCCATATGTATATGTATACATTTATGTATGTATACATCCCTCGTCTAGCTAAAGAGGGGGATGATTCCCAGTAGCTGGGGGTACAACCCAGGCGGGGGCACGAGCCCGTGAATGTTTCCTATCGTGAGACATATCTCAGTTGTTCATGTTCACCCTTGTTCCCATTTCCTTGGTTGCTTCCCCACCAAAGCATGTGGAATTCATATACAACAAACCAACTCATGAAACATACTGATGCATGTTCATACACATGCATACATGTATGCATATACATCTACATGCATGAATATATGTGTATATATATAGACATATATACATGTATGCACATACATAATATATATATATATATATATATACATATATATATATATGTTTACGGAGAGTGAGGCCCCAAAGAGTTCCCTCTTTCTATCCAAGGCCGTTGGCCCTTTTTGGAGCCTGGAGCTTCCGTCAGGAGCCTCTCACTGCAGAGGCGGCCCGGCAACTGGCGAGGCGGTGCAAGGAGGACCTCTCGCTGCCCTCCGCTTCAGTGTGTTATTTATTTTGTATATGTGTTTTTGTTTGTTTCACGTGTATATATATATATATAAAAGACTGGAATGTCGATCATGGGGGGGTGACCATACATACATATATATATATACACACATTCATATGTATGTATATATGTACATCCTGAGCTCAGGCAAGTATACGTTTTAGTCTCCGCTGTTGGTTTTGAAGGGAATCTATGACTACTGGAACATACATGTTTTCCTCCAGGGGAGTTATAAGCAAATGTTGCAGTTGACTTACTCCCCGAGTTCTGTTTCGGACGTTAGTCAACCAACGAGTTTGAACTTCTCTTGGGATAGTGACATCCTACACATGTATCTCTCTCTATATATACGCGTCGGGATGTAAACGAAAACGAGCGCATAAGAACAACAAACGGCAACCACGCAACAGTTGTGTAAAACATCAACAACCAAGGTTTTTTTCAAGGGCATGTCCAGGTATGGGTTTTGAAGTTAAAGCAAGTTGCAGGCGGTATGCTGCCCTATGAGTGGAACAGAAGCTCCGCAACGCCGCTCAGACTTGGAAATCGCCAAATGGCAACTTGACTCTTGGCATGTGGTTGTTGTTTGGTTTCTGCTGTTCTGTTTTTTTGTTTTTGTGGTGCAACAGGAAAAGCCGGTTTGCGAGAAAGGGTCCAAGGGTTGGAATCTCCAGCGGAGCCCTTCGTCCTGTGCCCTTTGCCGCAGGTGTGCATCGATGGTAGGTGTGGGTTTGCGCACTAGGTCTATCATTTTGATGAAGCTACCCTTTGTCGTAGCTTCAAAGGTGCCCGCTCACTTCCCGAGTTGCACTTTAAACTTTTTGGGTTTGGTTGCAATTTAGTGCTATCCTGGCAGATGAAAAGTTGGGACTGTTCTGGCCAATCTCAAGGAAATGGGGGGAAACCACGACGGGAAGTCCCGCCCAAAAAAGTCACCCCACTGGGAAGCCGTGTCAGCGGATGTGTGAACCCTATGAGTACTGGGGTTAACAGGATGTTCATCCATCAACTGCATGTATGGGTGTGTTTTGGACGGTGCCCCTTTGGGCGGATTGAAGGAAAACCAACAAGGAAGCCACCCTTTTAGGACGTATTTGACCCAACCCATTGAGGGGGTGAAAAGCATACCCCATGTGAGATTCGCCCAATTTCCCTCTACCACGAAAGACTCAGTTGCCCAAAACGAATCAACCTATTAACCTTTTGCATTTGGTTTTCTTGTTTGCGTTCACCAGGTGCACCTTGTGCTCCTCTTCCTGAGTCCCTTTACCCTTTTTTTTGTCCGGGCGTCGGACCATTTTCGCGGCATTCCGAAGCAAATCAATTTTGGCCATTTGTTTTGAAGGTCCTTTGCTAGCTGGCGGTAAGGGAGCCGGACGAGGGGAGCAAAAAGGGAGCCAGGCTCGGAGGTTCCGATCGGAGTTCTGCTTTGGGGGCATGGTAGTAACTTTTAGTGGTTCAGTCATTTCCCCCCTTTTGTCCTTTTTCGCAATTTCTTTGGACAACTTCACCTTGTTCTTAGGGTTCCTTAGAGATCCTTAGGGTTGCTTAGAGAACCTTAGGGTTGAATAGAAATGCTTAGGGCTCTTTAGTGTTTTCTAGGGACCCCCCCCCTTTTCCCATCTTTTCTTTTTGTTTAACCGCCATGGGACTCCATTCTCCCGCGAGGAGCACGGCCCTGGCGCCGTGGCGGAGGCTTTGCGCCGCCTCAACTGCGCGGAGTCCTGCGATCGCCTCATCACTGCAGGCGCCGCGGGCGCGTTACGCGCGCGTCGCGTTACGCGCGTCGCGTTGCGCGCGTAGCGCTTGGCTTGGCAGCGCCTCGTAGCAAAGTGCCCGTGCACTGCCGGCTTTTCTAGTTGGACTTGAAGCCAACTTGTTATCCGACTGAGTCGGACTTTAAACTGTTTGGGCAGACCACAGTTCAGACTTTTGCTGGACAGTCCACTCAGGAAATGAGTTGTCTCCGTGATGTTTCCATGCGTTTTCGCCAATGTGTTTTTCCTTTTGCCGGGGTTCCTGCAGAATCCCCAGTAATCTGCGCAAAAGCAGGCCTTTGCGTGTCCAAGTCCGGAACGGGAATCCGGTTTTTGTTTTGCCTTTTGGCCCTCCAAGAGCTCTTCCGCTACTCGTTTGACTTTTTGGGTTTGGAGCGTTGCACTCAAGCGTGGTCACTTGTTTTGGCCCATCCACTCGATGGGAATTGAGTTCGGTGGGCTGGTCCATGTTGGTAAGGCAGCGTCCTTTGAAGTCCATTACCTTTGGTCCGGTACATTGAAACTATTTTACTCTGTGTCCGAATGGTGTACGCGCTTGTAGTATACAGGCGAACCTTGATGTGACATACCTACATCTATGGATTGCTGTACACACAGATACTGTGGATGGACGAAATCCTGCACCACCTAAGACACCCTGGAATGATCCCCCCTGTGAATACCAGCAAACAATGGTTTCCCATGGTTTCAAAGTGGTGCAGGATTTCGTCCATCCACAGTATGAATGCGATGTATATATATATATCATTCACATGAGTAACTGCATAACATGTGTTTTAAGCCCGGGAACGGTTGTGCGAGGGAGTTTGCTCAACGTCCCATGTGGCGATGTTGAACGCGGGGCACCCTCAAAACGGCTGGTTACGTAAGTTTGCATTCAAAGGGATTGTAAACAAGGCTCACTTTCTTAGGTCAGACCTTGTTCCGGAAAGCCTCAGTCACTGATTGGTTTGGGGATTTCAACTGCTGGTTGTGGAGGGCAGATGGGAAGCCACCTCCACAACACCTTCAAACCAAAAATCCAAACCACCAAACAGCGGGAAGGTGAGCGGTGATGCATTTGTTTCAGAAAGGTTCCAAAAGAAGATCATCTTTCGACTGCGTCTTCTGAGGAAGTGAGAAGGTCCCAGTTGCAGGTCATAGCCCATGTTTGTGCCGTGGGTTGGTTGCATGAACTTTGTTCGTACCTGTTCATGGTAAGGTTCTGCGAAACTGCAGACATTGGTGGTGATACTGTAGTTTATGTTGTGGATGGCCCGACTCTTTAAACACCGCTACCTCCCTTTGAAACTTTCAATCGCGGATCCCTAATTGAAAGTCACAATTACGCATGTAGCCCATGTAGTCCCCAAAATTGCAGTCGGTGCAATGGTCAAAAGACTTCTCGACTCACGGCACATACGCGTTTATTTTTCTGTGTTTTCTTTTTTCGTGGGTGGATACTGGGTGCGACTGGTGTACCTGCCTTTTTTGTTCCGCTTCCCTTCGTGTGAAGCGCGCTCGGGAAGGCCTCTCGGGCGCGCTGGTGCCGCAGCTGGGGCGGCGAGATGGCGTGCAGCTGCTGCGGGCGCTCTGCGAGAAGAGTCTCAAGCCAGGACTGTCAGTGAAGGGAAGCCAACTAGCAGGGATAGAAGGGGAACCAGGGATACGGAAGGATTCCCCTAAATGGAGCTTTTCACTGTTCTTGGATCAAGCTGTTCAGTTGTTTTTTGGTTCTGCTCATTTTCAGTGGGTGGGCTGCAATAAACAGCTTGTTGCTACCATTCCAAGGGTTGTAAAGGTATGGGTGGCTCGTCCTTTCTTAAGGGACGCCCCCCCCCCCCCCAAATGGCACAACGGTTTTCTCCCGTTGGTTTGCGTCACTGGGATGTTTTTTGTTTTTTTTTGGGGGGGCAGCACAGCCACAGGAAAGCTCAGGGTTGATTTGGGAAAGAATTTCGAGTATGGACATCGTTTGCATGGGAAATTACGCATTGCGTCCAGAAATGCCAACGCAGGACTTACAAATCCCTAGTTGATTGACAGGGAGCCGTTTAAGAGGGGAACTGGATCCATTTGGTCCCTCTATGAGTATTTGGACTTCATACTTTTTAGGAAGATACGGGGGAACACAGGGAAAACACTTAAGCTGTAGTGCGCTTGGTTTACTTGGTTTGTGTGAGCATGTTTCCTCCCGTTGGGTGAATGTTTTTGGAGGTTCACTAAGTATGAACCAGTATCACACTTGCTTAGCGTGGAAAACCGACAGGCAGCCGGTTTAGCCTATCACTCGCTTTATAGTTGCCCACTGCTTGTCACATTTTGTCCAATGAATGGGTTGGGCGTTTCTAAACCAAGACGTGGAGGTTACTACTCTCAAACGTCTCAAAGGGCACCAAGGCCAACTAGTCAGGCCCCACAGTCACAGTTCTTTCCTCGCTCCCGATCGAGTTCCATTTCGGACTTTAAACTTTTCGACAAGATCATTTTCGTGGTACAGAGTTTGCACTCTGTTTGGCCCATCCACTCAGGAAGTGAGTTTCTGATTCTTCTTGGGCAAGACCATCTAGTCGCAACCTTCCCCGAAAATCCCGAGATCGCTGGTCGTTCTTTCGAGTCCCTTTCAATCCCAGTCAAAAGGGTCTCTTGGTTTTGATTTTGAACAACTCGTTTTCTAGAAGTTTGGAGCTGCTTGCTCAGCGGGGTCAGTGGGTACAAGGGTTGTTGCTTGTCGGTTTTCGGGTTTGGTATGTGCTACCAGATGTCAGAATGTGTGTATTGCCGGTTGCGGGGGGTGCAAGTGTCAATCGTTTCAATGTTTTGATGCCCTGAGCGTTAAAGGGATACTCACCAAACCACACAAGAGGAAACGGGCGCGGCTGGAGTTTGATTGTTCCGGTTTTGACTTGGGTAGCATCTTGTTTTCAGTCCGCATCACCCGAGCATTGGTCGTTTTGCTAGTGGCTTGCAAACAGCCGCGGGCCAAAGAGCAGTCAGCACCGACTTGGGACATAGGGAGAGTGTGACAAAAATCACGGGCCAAGTGCCAACCATGGGTGACTCAGGATGCATTGTCCAGTTTGTTGGCGACCAAAGATGAAGCAAACAACATTGAGCACGCATATGTATATTTGTCTACGTATACACACCTACGTTGACATGCAAGATGTGTGCATATATATATATATTGTGCATTTAGCTGCAAATTTGCATGTACAACGATATTTGCATAACATACAGCCAAACTCCAATCATGAAACATCTCGCGATGTGTTTGGTCTTTCATCCCCACCCGAACATCAATTTCCGGGTGGGTGGGGGGGGGGGGGGGGGGAAATCGACCCCTCGAAATCCATGATTCCATTTCCCCGGTTGTGTAAGACTGAAAGCCGATGAAACACGGAATTCCCGCCTGCTCGCCCCCCCCCCCCCCCCCCCACCGCATCTCTTTGAAGGTACCGTGGACGCCGTACTAATGCAAAGTAAACCAAGCACAGTCAGCCACACTAGCAGATTTGCTGCACGGTTGCCAAGTTTTTTCAGTTTCGCGGTTGTTTGGTTCTGTTCGTTTTTAGATTCGGGGCCTGCAAACAAAAACCGTCATGTGGGTTTGGAAGTGCCCTTGTGCCTTGTGGTGGTTCCCAGGCATCCACTTAGGTTTTGGTTGTTTTTTTTGGTGGTTTAGCGGTTTGGTTAGGTTTTGGTTGGTTTTTCAGTTGGTTTGGTGGTTGGGTCAGTTGTTCTTGTTTAGTTGGTTCAGTGATTGGGTTAGTTCTTGCAGTTCTCGCAAGCTTTCGGCCAGAGCCTTCGCTGCTCAGGACCCGGCTGCCCGGCTCACAAGCGCGTGGCTGAGGCGCTGATGTCCGCGGACGGGATGAAGTCCTTGGTGGCACAGCTCGCGGTGAAGGAGCGACCTATCGCTCCCTTCGGGCGCCTGGGGGCCGGGGGAGGGAGGGAGGGAGGCGAGCTGGTGGTTGGAAGGGTGGCCTTGGGTTTCAAGAGCCGGGTTTCCCTTCACAAAGTGGGGTTCCCATTAACTAGCTGGTGGTTGGAAGTTGGAAGGGAGCGCTTCCGGAGCTGGAGGTCTCTCAATTTTGCTTTTTTAGAGGGAGCCTTTCGGAGCCGATCGGAGTCCTGCAAGCACATGGTAGGAGAGAGGGAATTGTTGAGGCCTTCCAAGGAGGGCCTTGTTTTCTTCCATTTTCTGACACAAATATTATTGCTGGGCTCTCAACTTGTTCATGGTGGTTGTTGGGAAACATTTTACATTCTCGCTCATTGTGGTTTAGTGGTTGAAATCCCCACTTGACTGCTAAAATTTGTTTTGTTGTTTGCTCCCCTTCCAACGTCAACCATTTTTGGTTTCTCATGGCTGGGGAGGCCTTAAACACAAAACGGAAGGCCGCTGGGCTCCCCGACTTGAAGTTTTCGAAGCCCATCTCGAGAGCCAAAAGTTCCCGAGCCTTTCTCGACCGACCGTTCACTCAGAACGTGAGGCTTGGACTGCGCGCCGTAAAAACTGGGCGTTTTTTTTTTTGGTGTGTCACCAAAGGCCCCTTGGTCTTGGAAACAAAAAGATAGCTTCTCCAACAAGCCGACAGAAGGCTGGATGTTCTTTGCATAAATCGTTTCTAGTTGTTGAGTTTATTGTCATGTTCATTGCTAGTGGGGGCACAACAAAAGCTTGTCGGTGCCATACCGAGGTTTGCCAGTCCCTTTTCTTGTCAAGGATCCTTCTGTTCAGAAATGTCCCTTCGCACCGCGAAAATGGTTAGTTTCAAAAACGAACGATGGATGAGCAATCAGTCCTTAGACTTTTTGTTTGACCAACCTTCTTAGTGCTTCTGTTTGTGCCTGCCGCTTAGCCTGAGCGGTTGCGTCAGGAAAGCCTTCGCCTTTGTTTCCTTTGCCTAGTTTCCATAGCAGTGTCGAACGGACTGCGGATTCCTGGGGCTTGTTTGTAGGGAAAGGCATTTTCTTTGGTGCATGTTGCTTGGCTGTTCGGACTTTAACTTTTTTGCCAACTAATGGGTTTTCCACTCAACCACTAAAAGTTAAACTTTTAGCAGGGGAGCAGAAAGCGACCGAGTTTTTGTTGCAAACAACGTGTTTCGCTTCGGCCAATCCCCTCAGGAAGTGCAAATGCGTCGGCGGGAGAAAAGAAAACAACTCGCTTTTCTAAAGCTGACCTGTTGACCTATTGGTTTTCCTGGTGTGGGTTCCCATGTTTAGGGGCAACCCAAGAGGCGATCACTTTTCTTTCATTTGCTGAAAGATTTTGTTTGTTTCCCCTTGTTTGTTGAAAAGGTAATCGATTTCACTGGACATCTTAGCTCCTTTTTTCCAGGGGGCGAAAAAGCCAAATGAGAGTCGGGGAACAAGTTGGACATGTCTTATCTCTAATTTCCCGCCCCCTGTTTTTTGTGTTTCATTTTAGATATGTATATATATATATATATATATGCTGTTTTAAATGCGTGCTTGGTGAAAACCCGCAACACGGGGGGGGCATCCACTGATTCTCAGCGTAGCCTCCCACTTGGGCGACTCGGGTAGGAGCTGGGGCCTTGGGCGGCCTTCGCGTTGGGCCATCTGTGCATCCGGAACCCCCTGGCGCAGGTGGGTTCATCGGTTCATCGGTTCTCGGGCCATGGGTGGGTGGTTTTGTTGGGGGGAACCCAACCCTTTTGAGAACCCCCGCGTTTGGTTTTGGTTGGAACGAAAGGAAAACCATGACTTTTGGGGGGTAGCTTACCCTTTCCTCTTGGTTTTGGTTGGAACGAAAAGGAAAACCATATGACTTTTGGGGGGTAGCTTACCCTTTCCTTTTGGTTTTGGTTGGAACGAAAAGGAGAACCAAATGACTTTTGGTGGGGTAGCTTAAAGAAAGACACACGGGGAACCCCGTTTTTGGAGCCAAAAGGAAAACCATCAGGAAAATGGACTCCAAATGGACACTTAGAGTATATGTTGCAGCCAAGAAACCAAACGAAAAACAATACCCTAAATGAAGGAGGTTGCAAATGGGTGTGTTCCTTTTTGGGGAACCCCTTTTGGTTGGTTCTGAAATGGAGCCAAAAATAGAACCCAAATCAGCCTGAGACCCACATGTTCTTCAAGACGGGGCGGATCCCCCAAAAGCCCTTGAACAAAAACACGAAAGTAACCCATGAGACCCACAAAAAGCACGGGGCTCCTCAAAAAGGGATCTCGTTGAACAAGTTTTGTGCGGCCGTGTTTGGTCAGGCTATGGCTCTGCTTCATGCGGCGACCTGTGCCCCCCCCCCCCTCCCTCGGGAGCTTCGGCGCAAGGTGCGCGCCGGGCGCTGCCAGGCGATACGCTGCACGGTGCGCTTGCTGAGCCGCGCCAAGGCGACGCTTCGTCGCGTCGCGTCGTTTCGTCGTTTCGTCGCGTCGTGGCGGTCGAGGATGAAGTCTCACGGGTTCCTCATTGTGTTCTGCAGTCGGCAGGGTTCCAGGTCCAGGATAAGTGTTTGTGGGGGTGTCTTTTGACCGCGGTTCACGTCCGATCCGATGTGCTCGAGTCTCATCCTCAAAACCGATTCGGGTAGATGTGAAGGTTAGTAAGGGAGAATCCCCTAGCCAATTGCTGCGGATACCCGGCTTCTTATTTCTTTACATGGTTCGGGGTAACTAGACCATTTTGATACCGGGTTTTGAGTATGGCTCACTTGGTTTGAGCTCGATACTCCTTTGCTTACTCCCTGAGTTCAACTGCACCTTACAACACTTTTTGACTTTGGTTGCCATTGTAGTGTCAAACAAACAGTTGCTCACTTGTCCGATCTGGCGATCCGCGTGTGACACAGGGCCTCGATACTCCGCCTCACCTTGCTGGTGCTCAGGGAATGAGGAATGGAATGACCCCGAGATACACAATCTGATAGAGCTCGTTCCTTGAACTCCCATGGCTTCCTTTAAGGGAATCCCCCTTCCGGTGCATTCCCAACTCCCTGCGTCCCAGCTGTTGGTTGGAAGGGAGCCGTTCCGGAGCTGGGGCTTCTAAAATAGGGAGCCTTTCGAAGCTACTAGGAGGTCTAGAAGGACCTACGTATCGCCAAAGAGGACCTTTTGACTTTCGTTGGTTTAGTGGGGGCGGCTCCATTTAACCCACAAAAAGTTATTCACCTCCAGCAGGGGATCTGAAAATGGACAGCCCAGTTGACCTGCTGGTTTTCCTATGTTTGGGTTTCCTGTGTGTGGAATGAGAAGGTGATCACGTTTCTTCCATTTGCTTAAATCAAATCATTCATTCTTGTTTTCCCCTGGTGTTGAAGGGTATCGATTTCACGAATCACTGGAGGAATAGTTTCCATTTTTCCCGGGGACTCGAGAAAAACAAGGCTTCGTTTGCCATGGCTGACCTTCATTAGGTTCGGTAACATCGGGAAATTCACCGGATGCCCCGACTATGTTTGGCCCTATTTGTCTCACTCCCTGAGTTCCGTTTCGGACTTGAGTCACTTCTGGGGGTTGGTTGCCGCTGTGACAAACACGAGGTGTTGAAAAACTTGTTGTGACCAGTGCGTTTGTTTCTTTGTGCTTTTGGAGAAACCAAGGGGAACCAAAAAAGAGAACGAAACCACGGAGGTTCAGGGGACAGGGAAGCCTCCCCAACCTGAGGGAAGTTCGTGGAATTGGCTCAAAAGTACAATCCATCCACCCCACTGCGCAAGCCAGGGAGGCCCCCCCCCCAAAAAAAAAAAGGAGATCCCCAAACAAAACAAAAAACGGGAGATCTAACTTTGGGGCCAGATTTGAGTTCCCCGCCAAAAAAACGGAGAGCTAACTTTGGGGCCAGATTTTCTCACCGAGCTTCAACTCGTCTCCCACAAACAAAACGCGTGTGTTGGCTTTTTTGTTCCGGCTTCGTTTTTGCTGGTTTCCTCCGTCCTTTTGGCGCCAAAAAAAACTCGGTGGGCCTCGGTCGGTCGGAAGAAGGGAAGTCGGAAGTCGGTCGGGCGAGGACTTTCAGCAACTGGACGCCCTGGAGGCGGGGACCTACGCTCTGTGGAACCTCTTGGTGGGTCAGCCCCTCGCACGCAGTGGGAGATCGAGGTGTCATCTGTGTGTGTGTGTGTTTTCTGGGGGGCTGTACTAGTTTGCTTTTTGTCTTGGGGCCTAGAAAAAGATGTAACCTCCCACTTTTGGGTAATGGCAAACATTTTTCAAAGGATCGCCTTGGGCGACTCCAGGTATATCGAGGCTTGGGGGAAGAGTGAAGAAGGTTTTCGGAGCCCCGGACCATTTCGATCCTAACTCCAGAAATGGCCTGCCCGAGACTTGACTCTTGTTTGCCCCTCGCAACTTGGCTGTTTATTTTTTCCGCCTGGAGTATCCATGCCCCTTTTAAAATGGGGGTACCCAAAGGTAAGGGGTTATGACCCCTATTTCTAGGGGTCATGGAGACTCTAGGCAGGCCCAGAGATTTTGTTTTAGTTGGTTTAGTGGTTGGGTTTCCGAACTCAACCCACTAAAAGTTGCTCACTTTTAGCAGATCAGAAAACGGACAGCCCAGATCAGAAAAGCAGGGGCACTTTGAAAGAGAAGTAGGAAGCGTTGCAACCCCATATGTTGTACAAAAGGCTTGAGTGCGCCCCCCGTTTGCAGGCGTGTTCCTGCCCCAACCTTGTGCAAGAACCCCCGCCCCCAACCCCGCATGCGTCAAAAGGGGAACCATGGGGAACTCCCAAAACCCTGTTGGCTTCAAACCCCCAACAGGCTACCCTCAGAAACATACACAGATGAAACCCTTGTCTCACTGGGGTAGTCTTTCCTGAGTTACTTCCATCATTAACCCCGATGTCATGTCAGGATTATATCCTTACTCCCCACTTGAACTTGTTTGTGAAGACTATGTGACTGGCGGACAACAAGTTTGGACTTATAGGCCAGATTCGGTGGCCAAAACCAACTCTACGATGGATGTCCCAATCATCTCTGGGGGGTTCATAGAACCTCCATGATTTACCTTAGGATTGTCATCATTCAAATTGGGTCAACCATTGTTTTCATGGGGGTTGCATAACATTTCACATGTTTGCTTAATTATTGCTGTTTAGTGGGAAATCCCCACTCAACTGCTAAACTTTACACTTTTGCTTCCCTTGCAACGTCAACCAAGGTTGAACCCCAGGGCAACGTTAGCCCATGGAACCCCATCCGACGCCGAGCCTCTGAGGAGGGACCACGCGCTGGTTGCCTTCCGTGAAGGTGCCGCGGCGGTGCTCCTGCCTTTGCTCTCCCCGCGCACCGGAGGCGCAAGTTGGCGAGCCCGCTCGCTCGCTCGCTCGGAGCGAGGCCGCCCCTCTAGAAAACAGTAGTCATATGGATTCCTGTTAAAGCCAACGGGGGGAAATTTGACAATCTTCATTTCGGCAAATGGAAGATCCAGGCCCAATGGATTTCACCCGGTCTTCCCGCTGTTGGTCCTTTTTAAGCCTTGGAATCGCAGAGCACATGGGCTTTCAAATTTTTGGCTTTGGACCGGTTTAGTGGTAAATAAATAGTTGATACTGTTTGTTGACCGATCAACTCAGCAAGTGAGATCTATAGTAACATAAATACACTCGGCTATGACACATGTATAAACATATATAAACTTACTAGGTTATCCATGACTGCTCGCGAGACCTATGTGCTGAGGACATCTAGCGTCTTTCACAAGAACTTGTTTTCATCCAAGTTGTGTGGCAGATTTTTCACTTGTTGGGGGGGTTTCAGGCTTTCGTTGGCGCGGCAAAGGCGCCTTAATGCTTCATCGGCATATTTCGCCACTCATATCTTCATAGGAGGAACGTGTTGACCCGAAATTGCCATTTGTGGTCATGGCCTTCATTTGTTTTGCTTTTTGTCTTTTTCACATGCTGTATGAGGGTTTGTTTGTGCCTTTCTTCTGTTAGTTTCAAGGGAAGCTGCTTTATAAAGGGAAAGCCATCATGCTGTTCCTATGTTGGCACATACCTAATAGACTTCACTGTTGTTGACATGTTAGGTTGTTAGGCTTTGTTGAGTAGTGCCCTTTCACCAACTTTTTTGGTTGGGATGGTTCCCCTACTAAAACAGACAGAACAATATCGGGTACCAACTTATTCTAACCTCTCAAACTGGAGGACCTAGTTAATCAACCAAGCGTTTATTTTTTTGGGCTGGGTTTTGGCCCCTCCAGTGCTCTGATTCCCCACTGAACTCAGGGACACCCCATGAATAAACTGGGGACTCGTGGGTTCCAGGATTCCGCCGTGTTTTCCGGTCCGCTTCTGGGGAGCTCCGCGCACGGCGCGCTTGCCGGAGGCGAGGTGCTGCAGAACGCCCTGGGCGCCACCAGCTCTTTGCTCATGGCGGGCCAGGCCGCCCAGGAGGGGAGCTGCTGGAAGTGGCGGAAGTGCCTTCCCAGCGGCATGTGAGATGAAATATATCTATGCAGATGAATACCCACATGACATATATTGTGTTCACATATAGCTATGTTCATCTAGTTGTTTAGTTGTTTATGTATTTATGCATTTTTTTAGTAGTTGTTTGTTTACGTGCCTAACTTATTCATATATGTAGAAGAACCCTCCAACATACCTTTTGAACATATTTGATCATACGTACCCCAACCCTCCCATGATGATAGTTGCCGGAGGTTACTCTAAAGATGTGTTGGAGGGTTCTTGGATTATAGCAGGCGAAATAATTAGAATTGGGTTATGGGGGTAATTGAAAACGTTAGGAACACTTATACTGCAAGAGGAAAACCAGTATGTTGCTCCTCGGAGATTTCCCCATTTGGACGCATTACCCATCTCCCCCCTTTGGCTTAAGCAGCCACGACTCTTGTGACTCTGCCTTTGATATGTGAAGCAAACTGCCTGGTGGTTGTCTTTCTCCGGATTCCGGAGTTCACATGGATGGGGTCTGCTTACCGTCTTTTGATTGGGGTTTCGATGGGCTCACTCGACTTCATGGACTTGAGGCTACAGACCATGCCGAAACGGCTCCCTCCAACGGTGGGTTTTGGGGCCCTCGCAATGGGGTGGGTTTTCCCTTGGGCCCCAGCGCGGAATTGGTCCGGATTCTTCACAGGGCCCGGGCTTCAGCCTGCATTTTTGGGGGTCGTGAGCCTTAGGGTGCGTGGCAAAAAGAAAAAGTTTAGACTTTGTTTGGCCAGTTCGCTCGATCGGAAGTGAGCTGATGTACCCTTTTTTCCCCTTCCCTCTGGAAGGCCATGAGCGACGCCTCACTCTAAGAGCTGGGCAATGTTTCTAGGTCCCCCAGCTAGGTGCCCTTTCTCACCCCTTTTTTGGTTGGGAGGGGGAACCCCCTACTGAAATAGACTACAGAAAAAGGTAGGCACCCTTGTTCTAATCTCTCTACTGGAGGACCTAGATAAGGTACGACGGTGGTTGCACTTTCTTGTGTGGTACGGATGCCCCGATCCCAGTTTCCAAGTAAACCAACCACGCGAAAAGCCACGAAACCTTCGTACGTTGAGGGGCTTCCTCGCTTTGCTTGCCATGTGTATTTCGGGCAATCCATAGTTGCCCAACGCGAATCAACCTTTCGACTTTTTGGTTTCATGTTGGGTTCCCATTTCGTGGGTCCCATCCGGGGCAACCAAGGAGGGATTTACCATGGAACCCCGGTGAAAGGGGAAGTTGGAGTCCCGAAGCTTGCTGGTGCGATGAATGAGAAATGGAGTCTGACCCCAAGAAAACCAAAGCGACACCAGTTGGATGGTGTTGGGCACACGGTGGCCATTCCATTTCTCGTTCCCTGCTTTTTCTACACCAGCAAGCAGAAAAAGGTGGGTTTTTTTCTTTGGGCTTCCTGAGCCACCCTTTTTTGGGGTGCCCAAACACAAAAAAGATGCCATTGCTTCTTTTTGCTTCAGAATACGTTTTTAATTTTTCCCTGTTGGTTTTAAAAGGAAAGATATCACTCCTTGGACTTTTTGTTCCAGGGGTTTTAACCAAATAACATATTGGGGATCTTTCCTTCAAGGAAATCCCTGTGTTCATTCCCACCCGGACTCGTTCGCCAGGACGCCCTGGGCGCCAATGGCGCGGTGGCGGCCCTTTGCGGCCTGCTGGACTCGCCGGCCGCGGAGCAGGCGGCGGCGGCGCTGGGCAATCTGCTCAGCGGCCACGCGGAGAACGGCCGCAGGGCCGAGGCGTTGATTGCGCGGAGTGCGCTGAGTGCGCGCAGTGAAGCGAAGGGGCGGAAGGTGGGCAACACATGCGGTGTGTTTTGTGTTTATTTTTTGTTTGGGTGTTAAAGGGAAACCAGAAGAATAACCTGATTGCGCAAAAAACGAAGCGGAAGGGCGGGAGGGAGCTGAGTGGGCAAAACATGACGTGCGTGTTTTGATGTACAGCTTTGTTTGTTGGTGTCAAAGGGAACCAGAAAGAAAGCCGCATTGTTTTTGTTTTTTCTTTTATTGGAGGGGGGGGCAACACATGCCATGTGTTTTTTTTTGCAGTGTACCCCTTTGTTGTGGTTTTGAAGGGAAGCCACAAGGAAAACCCGCATGCTCCTTTGGATGTGTTCCGAGGTTAGCATGACATGAGTTGGATAGCCTGAAGCTGGCTGACTGCTTTGCAAATGCTATCGGCAGGCAGTGCATACAATGGCAAGGGAACAATCCTTCACAGAAATTGGCAAGTTTCTAATTTCTTTATTTTTTGGTTCTGTCCATTCTCAGTAAGAGGCGGCCTCAGTTGAACCCTTGAAATGAATGGCTCGTCTTTTTTGGGGTTCCCCAAAATGTTGCAGGTATCCTTCTTGGCTTCCCTGAAAAAAAAAACAAAGAATGACAAGGGTACTCTGCAAAAAATCAAAAACAAAAAAACATCCGCAAATAGTTGTATCTTGATGGCGCAAGCAGCTTGATCTTTTAGGCTCAGCTCAGGTAAGTGCATGCAAGTGACCCCAGGTTAGTTTGACACGACTGCGGGGATATGGAAGTGAATAGCCCTTGTCTCAAAACGGGGAGCCCCCAAAATGGGAGGTGTTGATGTTCTTCAACACCATCCAAAAGAGGGCGCCCTCCACACCCAAGTGTGTTGTTTCTCGAAACGGGGCCCTGGTTTGCCTCCTGAATAGGGAGCACACTTAACATTCGCAACTGTTCCAGGAAGGCTTGGTCAATCGGGCAACTGCGCCGAGTACTTGACCCACCAACATATCTAAACGGATGTCCCAAGTTTCTGATCAAAGCATGGAAGTGTTGGCACATAGACCCCTCCTGGTGGTTGGTTTCCCTTTGCCCCTTTGCAAAGAAACTTCGGGGCTCCCAAATGACACCCCGATGGATGAGTCGCATTTTTCCAGAGCCATTTAGCACTCTACGGTGACTCTACGTCCAAAATATGCTTGATGTCCCCTGTTGGTTGTTTGATGGGAATCTATCACTACTGGAAATGAATATTTCATTTTTGTCCGCAGCAGATGGAAGTGCTTGCAACATCTGGAGAAGTGTTGGTTGGCGCTCAAGGCTTCGTTTGGGCCACTCCATTCACGACACGTCCAACATCCAGCTTGCAAACCTTCGAACATCTCGCTCGAGCTTATGGACTTGAGGCTTAAACTGGGTTTGGACCATTTCGCAAAGTCAAAACTTTGGTGCATTTTGCCCAGGGATGTTAGGACTGAATAACTGTTTGCCAATGGGTTTTCCGCACTAAACCACTAAAAGTTAGTCGCTTTTAGCAGCAGAAAGCGACCGAGGAAAGTTGTGGGACTTGTTTTTGGGCCAATCCACCCAGGACGTGAGTTGTTGTTCGGCTATTGAGTAGCTGCTAGAGTCAACCGTCAAATTTGAGCGCTGCTCATGTGCACTGCACCTCACGTGGACCCGCGTGCCGCAAATCGCAACTCGGCAGGCGAGCCGGGCTTTGCCGCGGCTGCTGCAGCTGTTGCGGCTCGCCGCGACGGAGACTTGGCGCAGCGAAACTGGGGGCGTTGTAGGGGACACTTCCTTTTCCATTCTTTCCAGGGATCCTTTTTTTCAGAAGACCATCAGAACACCAGGGGAAACAGCTGGTTTTTGAAAAGAACCATGGTTGAAAAGGATGGGGAATCGACCCCTAGAATTGTTGTGCGAAAGGTGCCTGAACATCACCTTTGACCCATTTTTCTGCGAATGTCCTTTTGGGGCTATGGTTTCCTGTTGGTTTCCGTTTAAACCAAGCTGCAAAGCGTGCCCCTCAAAGAACACCACACTGTCACACACACGCACACACACCTAAAATGCTTGCTTCATTTCCCTTCGAATACCAGCTATTTCGAGAAACTCCCTCGTTCCAAAAGAAACCCACCTTTTTCTTCTTGCTGGTGCTGGTGCTCCAGCAGGGAATGAGGGAATTGCCTACTAAACCATGCCTTGCAGTTTCCTTCAAGGGGACCAAAGCCTGGGCTCATTCAACCACATTCCCTACTTGGGCATGGCTCAAAAATACAGAGCTGGGGTTACGCGGTGTTTAGTCTTCCATTTGTCCAAGGTGCCATTTTGGTACCACTTTTTTGAGCCACAGCCACTTCTCCTCAGTTGTTCAGTGGCACCCATTTTTTGGTGGCTGCCCCACTAAAAATGGTCTTCCCCAAGAAGGGTTCCCTTTCTTCCCAGGGTCACCGAGCAACTGAGTATCGCCCCAAGCCGGGGGGGCCGCGTCCCAAAAGAAAGAACCTTTTGCGAGAGGAGCAGCGCAGCAAGCTGGCGGAGAACTGCTGCGCAGCCTTGGCCAACTTGGTGGCCGGCACGCACACGGCGCAGGCCGGGGGTTATTGCTTGTAGTTGGCTTCGCTGTTGGTGGATCAGTAGTGCCCTTTTACCAGTTTCTTTTTTGGGGGAGGGTTCCTCTACTAACATAGACTACAGAAATAAAGGGTACCCTTATTCTAGCCTCTCTACCTCAGTTAAGTTGACGACAGCTCGCTTAAGTTGAGCCAAACCAGCCCCAGTTCTTTTTAAAGCCATCATGTTGTTTCGTTATGATGGTTGATTTTTCAGGTTGACTCCTAGTTGGTGGTTTGGAGCCTTAGGGGGGTCTTCCCATTTACCCTTTACAACAACGAGTTGTTTGCTTCGTTTTACTCACTTTGTGAGTTCTGGACGTAGTAATTTCGCAAACTGGAAAAAGAAACATCATGGGTAAGCGCATCCTTCCCCAGTCGTTATCTCACTTGCCTATCTGAATGGGCACCCTGGTTGCGGGAAACAACCCTATGCCAAACTGGGACTCCCCATGACTACTTGATCAGGCGACTCAAATCCTTGATATCACAGAAAGTAGCCCACTTGCGCAATACTTTCTGAACTATAGCCATTTTGAGAGATCCAATTCGTTCTTAAGGGAGGGTCCGAGAGAATTCCCTAGGCTCCCTAACTAATCAACCCTCAACTACCCACCCCGCTGGCCCCTTGTACCTACCTTTGGAATCGGATTCCCTTTTTTCCAGCATCCTCAAGACGTCAGCCCAGGCGGCGGTGGAGGCTGGCATCTTGGACCTGGTGTCCGAGGTGATGCCCTTCGTGGTGCGACCAGCCCAGGCGTGCGGTGCGGCGGCTTTTAAACTTTTGGGGTCCAATATGAGTGAAGTTTCCGAAAGGTTGACCTTTTCTTGGCGGTTTTGAGTGAATCCTCCGGTTCCTTTATGCTTGTTTTAGGCTTTTAGTTGGTTCGGTGGGGAAGCACCCGCCGAAATGAAGCCAGGTCTATGGTCAATTTGAGGGAGGGGGATGGGGGACTCACAGTTTCACCGTCTTTCCAAAACCAGGGGAATCGGGACGACCCATTGCAACAGAAACATAAAATCACTTGAAGGATACAGTGTGGCCATATTGAAAACCACCTCGCTGTTTTGAAGGTTTCCTGTATCTGGGTGTTTTTAGGTGTATCCTTCAAGGTACCCGAAGTACATACCAAAATCCATGCTGAATGTTCCGATTCTTTTGAGACAAACTCATGCTACTTTCAAAGGAACCCCGTTGAAAGCAGCCCAAGGCTCGCTTGAAGCACACCCGGTGGTGTTCCTCGAAACGATCACCACCTTTGGAGGCTCCAAGAAAGCGAAACTGCGTGCTCGATCAAAAAAAGACTTTGTTTGCTTCTCCGACACACCCAATGGCCAGTGTCACTGATGGACGGATCTAAAGAGGAAAAGGGAAATGGTGGCCGCTTTGTTGCCGAGTGTTTTTTTGTTTGGCGAAATTTGGGTTTTCTGCACTCTGGGAAGGACTTGTGCCGCCTCCGCGAGGTGAGTCACAAAAAAATGGCTCGGAAGCCCTGTCGTGGCTCTTTGGAGCCCTTTGAAGTTACTTCCAGGAAAATGGTTTTCTCCTATTGGTCCTGGCCAACTTGTTTGGTTTGTTTTTCTTTTCCGAGGTCTTTGGGCTCTTGGCCAACATCTGCCACCAGCTGCCCGAGCGCTTGCCAGAGATCCTGCGCCTCACCCCGGTGCAGCGCTTGGTGGACGTACTGAAGCCCAAGGAGGAGGCGAGGGTTCAACTTGTGGCGCCCCTTTGAGGCTTCCTCCGGGTTGGTGGGTTCGGTTCCCGTTTCGGAGGCAAACAACAAGTTTGGTCACCTTTTTGGCCCATCCACGAAGGATCGGACATGCGTATGAGGTATTCTCAGGATTTGACTCCACCGTCGGATGTGACTCCACCCGTCGGCATGTGTGTGTAGTTGTTCGCGTTTGCGTCATTTGTTCAGCTTCCACCCAGTTGGTGGTTTGGAGCCCGGTGGTTTGGTGGTTAAGGGCTGGTTTCCCATTTACCCTTTGCAAGAACCAGTCTTTTGTTTGGTTTTACTCACTCCCTGAGTTCAACTGGACTTTAGTCACTTTTCGGGTTTGGACCATTCAGGACAGCGTTCAGTTGAGCCATCCTTCACAAAACAGTCCTGTTTCTTTCCAAAGCCAGCGGTGTTGAGCACCTTGTTCTTCCGAGAACCCCTGAACGAGAACGGCTCGAACGATTCGGAAAACGTGTGGAGCGCCGGAAGAAGCAGCAACATGCGCCTTGTTCGCCTGAGTTCCTGAGTTCCGTTTCGGAGTGACATCTCACTTTTTGGGCTTGGACCCTTTGAGTGGCACTCAAAAGTGTTCGGTTACTATGGGCCTGGCCCATCCACGAAGGATCGGAAGTGAGTTTCTTGCCGGCGGCTGCTAAAATCAGCATGAGAATCAAAACATCAAACACCATTCTATGGGCCAACTTGCATACTGCAAATGGACATAGCAAATTATGATTACACAGTTATACACGAGTTGTACAGCGTGCACACCCGGAAACAAATCCCTATATAGGCATGTCTGTAAGTTGGAACGGGAACATGCACCTCCCCAAGTTCCCACTCGCTTCCCAATTGTTTCTCTTTTACACATTTTGGTGGGAAGATCATGTGGGTGGTAAACTTTCGAGTTCCGTACATAGCGGCCGGCACTGAGGTGAGCCAAAAGGTTTCTTATGAGTCAGCCACAGGCCAGAAGACCTTTTCCAACCTTACCTTTTTCTGAGAAACCACAACCCACTTTTTAGGAGAAACCTGCCCATGGTTTGGGAGAGTTTCCCATGTTTTTTGTTGCAAACCCGGCCAATTTTCTCGGGGAGACATTGCTTGGGAGGCCCCCAAAGCGTCCTTGGCAGCGGTGGCGCTCAGCGCCAACTTGGCCTCCTTGGCCAGCGCCAAGACCCAGCTCCTCCGCGCCTCGGCACCCAGAAACGCGGAAACGCGGAAGTGGCACGCGCGCGGAAGCCTCGGCGGCTTCTCTTGCTTTGTGCTTCTTCTTCTTTTTTTGTGCATGTGGCTGGGTAAACTGCAGGAAACCACCGAATTCACCGCAACTAACATGGTTTTGTTGCGTCGTGGCGAGTTTGTGGGGTAAAGGGAATCCAACATTTCAAAGAAAAGCCGTCATGTTGTGCCTAGTTTGAGACATGCCTATCAGAATCTAGTATACTTCACTGTTCTTGGCAAGAAGGCAACGTGGTTTGCTGCCATGCCAAGGGTTGTGAGGTTCCTCCTGGCTTCCATTTGCTGAAAATGAGTTATTTCTTGCCCATGTTGGTTTTAAAGGGCATGGAATTCACTACTGGACATGTCAATTATGATGATCTTTTCCAGGGAGCTTAAACAAATGGAAGTTGGTACCCAAGTTATTGGTCCGAGATGTTCTGGGATGTCCTATATCGATTTATCCCAAGTCTCTGTTTGGGATTCGTAAAATCAGGTCAGGGTGACCTACTCACTCCCTGAGTGTTGCTGCGAATTTGATCACTGTTTGGGCTTGGGCCATTTTAGTGGCACTGGATGATTACTGTTTTGGCCCCCGGTATCAAGGAATGAGGTCAGGGGGACCTGTAACCTCCGAGTTGATCGAAGTTCAATCTGCTCATGGATTCAGTTGTCTCTTTTCTTGGGTGACGGTGACCCCTTGAATTCAAACAATTGTTTTTTTTTTATTTATTTTTTTTATATATAGACACGAAAAGCACATGAATGTAATGTGCAAGCAATTGGAACCCATATTAGCACCCGTTGAACGGGTCCCTGACTCTGGGTCAATCCACTTGTTTCACTTGGGGCCTCTTTTTGGGTTGCAGGGGGGTTTTTAGAAATCACAAGTCACTGAAAGGTCCTTCCTCAGAGGGTTGGAAAAGGAGCCGTTTATTGTTTGATTCCATGTCGGAGACGTTTCGGCCCGCCAAAATGATGGTAGAACAAACATTTTATCCCCAGAACGCGGTGGCAGATGGAAACCATGGTGACTGTTGCCGTTTGATTGAATCGGATTGGGGGCGGGGCCTTTAACAATAGAAACTTGCAGCGAATAAGTTGGACCGATCGGCCGAAGTTCCAAACTGAACCATCCCTATAGTCATTAGGCTCAGTTGCCCAAAGCTGAGCCTTTGACCCTTTAGTAGCTACTTGCTGGTTGAGATCCTAGGCGAAGAAAAACCCGGCATAACCCTTTGGTTTTTTACCGGGTTTTAAGTACTGGCAACTTGGAGCACTGGAAAAATAGAGGTGCCCTATGCAAGCCCAAGCACCCTCAAACCGTACAATCAGGTTTCATTGACTTGCAAGATCCATGATCAAGTCCCACGAGGCTATGAATGTTTATGCACATAGACATTTGGGAGAGCCACTGTAGTGCCTTCCCAAAAAGTCTGCTTACTTTATTGGCCCATCCATGAAGGATGGGAAGTGAGTTCTACCGTGTGGAACGAAATCCTTCACCCCCTAAGAACCCTTGCTTTCTGATTCGATTCCCCGGGTAAATACCAACAAACACCTTATGGTTGCAATCCCGTGGTTTCTTATGTGCTGCCAGAAGGGGATTTCGCAACCATCCGCATCTCTTGAACCTTTTTCTGGCCCTCCCGGGATGATCTCGCCCGAGGGTGCGATTTCTGGATTTCCCAACCGTCCACCAAGCATTTTCTGGCCATCCCCCTCGACTCACGGGCTGGAGGTTATACCCCTGAATTGGTGTGGTTTGGGACCTGAACTCGAGGGAACATGGGAAACCACCCCCCCACACGAATCCACACGAATCTAAACCACCAACATTTGCAAGCTCACTCACGACCTGAGCTGTTTCTCAGGCAGTCTCCTCATGTTCCCTTCCTGGATCTACCCATGTTGATACCGGGTTTCGATTATGACTCACATGGGGTGGCTCACTCACGACTCCGGGATGATCTCGCCTGAGGCGCCGGGCTGTTGCCGCCTTTGGCCAAAGCCATTGAGAGCTCCACGGACCAGCAGCTGCGACTGCAGGCGGATGGATCGGCGGTTTCGGGTGATGGCGGTTTCCCCGGTTTCGGGCGGTTTTTTTCGGGGCGATGCACGGGTGGGCTGCTTTAAGGGTTGGTGGGGTTCTTCCATTTGATGAAAATGAATCTGTTTTTTTTCCATTTTTTGCTGGTGTTGTTTTTTGTTTTCTCAAGGGGAATCTAATTATCACTGGAAGTATGTATATTTTTGCCAGGGGACTGAAGCCAAAGGACTCTGGGTTTAGGGTAAGCTTAGGTTCCTCAAAAATGGTTGCGCGTGACAAGTCGACTGGGGTTCGGCAAGTCTGACGCAAATAGACAGGCGACGGAAGCCTGTATTCTTAGCCATTCTTAGCCTTTGACGCCCTTGTTTAGGTTTGGAGCCCCCACAGGGGCTTCCATTGTCCCCCTCCAAAATTCCAGCGGAGAAGAAAAAAAACGAATGGAGCGTTGAGTTGCGCCTTCTTGCTTGCGGCTGCCCCCACTGAAAATACACCCAACAAAGGAATCCAAGTCTTTGTCTACCAGGTCACTGAACTTTGAATTTCAGGGACTGGGACAGTTTCCGGTTCGCAAAGCCTAAACATCGGGGACGTTTTGGTGGACATCACAATAGTTGGCGTTCGATGTCAACCACTGAGGGCGTTCCCCCATGCAAACTGACTGAAACATCGAAAACAAGCAGCTGCTTGGCGCCTCCCCCACAGACCTCCTATGCCTTCAGGGGTTTCCTGCTGGTTTCCTTCCAAGGCCCGCCAAAAAGTCCCACGGGCGCGCGCCACGTGGCGCGTTTGGGTTTTTCCCATGGCCCACGTTGGTCCGAGGCGCCTCGGCGCCTCGCCTCGCTCGTGAGGCGGCCATCTGCCTGGCGAACCTGCTGGAGGACAGCGGGGCCTCGGTGGCCAAGGCCTTTTTGGAGCTGCCGGACCTCCCGCGGCGCCTCAGCTTCCTGCTCTCCAACCAGAAGGCCGGGCATGCCGGGAGGCCGGGGCACAGTTCTGGAGAGCTTGCCAGAACCAAGCACTTCCGGATCCAGGATCCCGGCGAATGGGCCGGTTCAGGAAGGGTTTGAGGTTTTTCGTTCAGTTGGTGATTAAATTAGTCTAGCTAGAAGGCCGGGAACTGAAACCCCGGCCCTTGTTGGCTGAGAAAATCAGCGGACCCCCCGGGCTCTTTAAAGCAGCGCAGCACCTTGGTCTTCCAAGGATCCTGAAGAAAAAGATCAGGTCCTTGTTGATGTTCTTCTTGGTAGGCCTGTTTTTTCCAGAGTCTTGGAAGCTCATGGAAATGATTCTCCCCAAAAACTGGTTCAACTGTTTTGGTTTCGTGGTGTTTGTAAGGCCGGGGGGGAAGTGGACCTGACTTCTTTCGGTGGCCGCCGGATTTGTTCATGCTAAGTAGCCAAAGCGTTTGAGTCTAGTCCAGCCAAAGTGTTTCACAAATTCTCAGGACACCGAAATGGGATGGATGAATCTGACCCCTTGAAGCCCTCCAAGCCACCATTAAAGTGAACGGCCTTTTGTTTGGTTGATGCTCATAGCTTTTCAAACCTTAAAAACACAACTTTTCAACTTTTTGGGTAACATGGGCTACATGTGTGTAAAAGATGAACTTCCCCAGGGCTTGGAGTTTTAAGGGGTACGTTTTTAGTTGGTTGATGTCCATAAACCCCTAAACCCCTCAATTGCCAGACCAGCAGAACCTCACAAACGCGCTGTAGCAGCGAGCAATACCAGTCCTGTAGCCGAACCAGTCGCCTAAGGTGTTGCATTTGCGCCCGACTTTGTTTCGCTTCGTCTTGAAGCTCTTGTACTGGAACCCTTGTTGCATGAGTCCAAGGGATGGATGAATGCAGTATCTGGGATCTTCTTAGTAAGGCTCCTAATGTTGACCCCAGGAATCAACCCCAGTTTAGTAGTGGAGGGCGGGGAGGTGCTCCTTTCCAAAAGTGATGATTCCCCACTCAACCAGGGACACCCCCCACTAATACACTGGGGTTGATGCATATGGGGTCAACATCACTGTGGAAAGTCTACAGAAAATTCAATCAAGCACACTCTGATCCAATCACCTGCGATCCGCACCACGGTAGGCCGAAACCTGAAAAAAACCTTCTTTTAACCAATAAGCAACGCTAGGGAAAAAAAGTTTCTGAGAATGCCCTCGCAATGCCCTCACCAGCATGCCCTACAGGTTAACCCCCCGGTTGCCCACGCCAACAAAAAGCATGAGCTCATTGGCACGAAACCACCCAGGTCCCAAAACCTGTTTTTTTCCGCGGAATCCCACAATGACCTTTCACCGGACCGAGCGACAAAAACTCGCTGGTTCAAAGGTATCAGGATTTGCTTTTGCGATGGTTTCCCCCCCCCCCCTAGCAAAAGCAAAGACAAGGTCAAAAGCAAACAAACGGTTTTACTTCTACGTACGATGTCTGTTTGCATTGATCCATTGGACTCCCCCCACATTGACATGATGAACACGCGCTGATTCTGCAACTCTCTTCTTTTCGGGTGTAGGTTTTTTAGGGTTCCTGAATCCAAATAAAACTAAGTGTCCATGGTGGTTTCATTTTAGCAGGGCTCCATGTTGGGAACATTTTTTTTGACCCACACTGTCCTGTTTTCTCGGGGACCCGGGTTTTCCTTTTGGCTTCCCGTCAACACCAAACAACAGGACCTGGACCCTCAAACAACCACAGTACAAGAGCATCCTATTCCAAATGTTCATGACAACAACCCATTCTAAAGGGCACTTTGAGGATCAAGGTCTCCTCCAGCCAAAAAGAACATGGAGCCAAGTGCTCCCAGCCCCCCCCCCCCCCCCTTCCCCTTTCCCCCGGACAAACCCCCGGCCAAACCCGCTGCCAGCGGCAGGCCCCGCTGCCGGCGGCCACGCGGCGCCACGTGGCGCGGGCCCTCGCGCTGCTGTCCTCGCGCGAGGCCTCGCGCGTGGCGGTGCCGCTCGGACGGCTCGATGCGATGGGACGGACGGACGGACGGACGGACGGACGGACGGACGGACGGACGGACGGCCAAACGCCGCGGGGTTCGAAGAGCGGCTGAATTCGAAGAGAGGTTTCTCTATGGGAGTCCTTGTATGGGTGGACTCTTTTCCATTCTTTCCAGCCTTGGGGCTGACTCCTAGTAAGGCTATAGTTTGGTGGGGTGGAGCCGACTTTTCATGGTGGTCGTTGGGAAACATTAGAAACATGTTTGCTTATTGTGGTTTAGTGGGAAATCCCTACTTAGCTGCTAAAATTTAGATTTTTGCTCCCCTTCCAACGTCAACCAAGTTTTCAGCCTTGGGGCTGACTCCTGGTAAGGCTATAGTTTGGTGGGGTGGAGCCGAATCGGTGGTTTGGTGGTTGAGGGGTTGCCATGGGGTTTATAATGACATGGTGGCTGGATTTCCCATGTTGCTACCATTTTGGTTTCACCGGATTTCCCACCCAGTTCCTGGTTGAATTCCCGACGACATGTGCGCATGCTGCCATTGATGAAGCACTACCATCCATTTGCTGAATTGAATATGTTGTTATTTTCCCCCGTTGATTCTAAACGGAATCTATGGCTACTGGGAACAGTTGCTGGGTTGGGTTGCCATTTTGGAGGTGTCCCTGTCAGGCTGACTCCTTGGTGGGTTGGACCCGAATCGGTGGTTGGTTGGGTGGTTAGGGGTGGTTAAGGGGTGGATACCAGGAGGTCTACAACTCACTTCCTGAGTTCATGAACTTTAAACTTTTTGGGAAGACCATTTTAGTGGTAAACATAAAGTTTGGACTTTTTGTGGGCCATCCACTCAGCCAGTGAGACAAGGACATGGCTGGATTTCTTGCACCATTTAACTGTGGCCCTTTAAGGCCTGGGTTGTGGTTGATCGCTCGGGGTTTATCCAACCACTGTGATACTTGAGGGAATCTCCCCCCTGAAAAAAGGGGGGGGTAGTCTTTGGGACCAAACCTGTTGGTGCAATAGGTAGGGTTGAATGAACATTCAACCCAGCTTTGGTCGCCGGAAAAGGGAAAGACAACCAGCAAGTAATTGGTTCCCAGGAAAACCCATTCTGGTTGCCGATGGTTGTCAAAGCTTGTTCGTGTGGTTGGTGCACCCAGGACCCAAAACTAATTGACCTGGAGATTCCAATGCCGAGGAAGTCCTAGGCGTTCTGGTTCTCAAGGCGTTTTAGGCGTTCTAGGCGGTTTGCGTATTTTCTTTGCGTTTTTGTTTGTTTGTTTGTTTGTTTTGGCGGGCGTTTGCCCATTTTTTGCGGGTGTTTTGCGGAAATGTGCGGGCGTTCCTGTTTCAAGGCGTTTGCGGTAGTTTGCGGGCGTTTGTGTGCAAAACTAGGTCAATGCCGAGAACTACTAGGAATTCCTTGACGTTTGAATCTCCGGGAAGGGTTACCTCTTTCTCCAGGGGTCATGGAAACTCTACGTGTAAAGGGGTACCTCGATCCCCAAAACTCGGCCGCTCCTCGCCGCGCGCCGCGACCAAAGCGCGAGAACCGCCACGCGCCGCGCCGAACCCGAGGAAGGAGTCCGGGGCGCCGGAGGCGCTGAACCAGCTGCTGGCGGAGGCGGAGCCCCTGGCCAAGGAAGCCGCGCCTCGGAGTTTTTGGCGATGGGGCGAGCGGGAGGTCTGGTGAGGGTCTGGGTGGGGGGTGGATTCGGGGGGGTTCTGGTTTTGATGTGGAGGTTCCGGGTGGGGGGTTTGAGGTTGGAGGTTGGGTGAAGTTTGGTGATCCGGTGAATGGCGGGAGTGTCTCAAAATGATGGGGTCCGGTTCTAGCTGGTTGTTGGAAGGGAAGCAAGGAGCTGGGGGCATCCAAAGAACGCCGTAGCGGTTTCATGCGGTTTAAACACCAACATAGAGTTTACCCTCATGTCCGGTTGGCAAAGTGTGAACAGTCACCCACAACATTGCTTGCCAAAGGGTGGATCCTTGTTCCCATAGGTCTTGGATTCGCCAAGTTAGGTTGTTAGTCTTCCAGGTTCTAAGCCACTTACAAGTCCCGCAAAGTGGGGCTGGTTATAAAGGGGGTACCCAAATTGGCTCGCCAATTATTTGGCGAAGCGAATATTTAAGCTCTTGTAAGATGGTAAGGGTATTCATCGTATTAATAGGCTATGTCGTAGAGTGCGCCTTGTGGAGAACGCGAATATTGCTCTAAAGTATCCCGCGGAAGTATGGAAGGTGTGCGCACCTCCAATCCCGATTGTGCCCTTGACACAAGAGAGACGGAGGGGTCGCCACGCTCTTTCCAGCGCATTCCAAAGATTTTTGACTTAAGGGGTCCTGAAGTGTCTCGTTTCCAGATCTCTGGGTTGATACCTGTTGTTCTAGGTCTCCCAGTGGTGCACTTTTACCGTTTCTTTTTTGGTTGGGGGTTCGGTTCCCCTACTGAAATAGACAAAACCGGAAAAAACAAGTGGGCACCAACTTATTCTAACCTCTCAAATCTGGAGGACCTGGATGTTGAGGGGCTTCTCCAAAGTACTTTTGGGGAAATTGCTTCCCTTGAAGCCACCAGTGGATGCGACGCCACGTCAAATCTGGAGGACCTAGTTCATCAACCAAGCGTTTATTAGGTTTTGGCCCCTCCAGTGGTCTGATTCCCCTCAAATTCTTCCCCAGAATTGGCTCCCCTTTTTCCTTTTTTGCTTTTTTGGGGTTCCTTTTGTTTTCCACTGACCAGGCAAAAAAGATATTTTTTTGGTTGGGGTCCTAATTCCAGCCTAGAAATCTGGAGGACCTGTTTCTAGTTCCCCCCAACTCCGCCAGAAACCCTCGCCTCGAAGCCCGCGGCTCGGCTCCTCGACGGCTCGGATCGACGCGGCTCGGATCGACTCCCCGAGGCCTTCGGCTTCCTGAACTTGGCGCTGGTGTCCAAGGACCGTGACAAGGCGCGAGCGCCGAAAAGCGACGGACAACGGCGGCGTGGGCCATTCTCTTCGCACATGTTGTTGTTGGCAGTCTTTGTTTTTTTTGGTGTGTGTGGTTTTGGGGGGTTTTGTGTGTGTGTGTGTGTTATGGGTTTGTTCATATTCACTGCTGAGCTTTTTTGTTTCAGTTGTTCGGTTTTGTTGGGGTTCTGTTTATTTTGTGTAGGGGTGATTTGTTGTTTGTTCATTTTTTAGTAGGGGGCTGCAAATCGAGGCTGTTCCCAGCACTCGTTGACCCGGAGCGTCTTGTTGGTTTGCGGGAAGAGATTAATTACTGACAATCTGGGCAATAATCTAAATTAGGTGTTTTTTTTTCTCCTTTCAGAGCCACTTGACCCCGAGCCACCTTCGTTGCGGCATCACCCATGAATCATGAAGGTTTCTGTTTGTACTTCAGGTTGGTGAAGTTGTCATTTGTTCAAAACCTTGGAACAGGTTCTGAGGGCTGACTGGTTGACAACGTATTGGGGAAGAAACAGTGTTCGGCCTTGTGGTGTTCCAAGTCTTGGGTGTGTTGGTGGCTGCCAAGCAGTGCATGAACGCGCATTTGAGAACTGGGCAAAGAGCTGGGCTTGTGTATTGGGAACACACCCTATAAGTTTGTTGCGGGGGGTTGCCGCAAATCGGCACAGATCCATGTGGCAAGCGCAAGATCCTAGCCTCACTAGCTTCATCATGTTTGACCAAAGCTGGTGCTCAAGGGGTCACTGGATTCAACATGCCCTCCGATCCACCAACGTGGAACCCACCGCGTCCCTCCGCCAAAAGGACGGAGTGACCCATTCTTCCGCCAACGGGGGCCGCAAGTGGGAATTCACTTGTTCAAATATTGTATGGCAATCTCACCGATTCCGGGGGTAAAACATCGGGTCCTTTACTTGAGGGTGCCTTATGAGTTTGGAAGACTCTATATTTGTCTCACTCCATGAGTTTATGGACTTGAAACGTGTTGGGCTAGCAGAATTTCGCGGCAAGCAACAAGTTTGGACTTTGGCCAGTCTCAAGAAGTGAGTTGTGGATGGAGTGCTGCGTCCAACGATCAGCCTTGAGGTCTAAAGCTTGAAGCCGTCCTGGCAAACCCTTAGATCAGTTGAACCAAAGCGAATCGACCGGATGTTGGCCTTTTGGTTTCCCCATCTTGTGTTCCCATCGGTAAAGGAACCAAAGGTGAACCTTTCATTTCTGGGTTGGGAAAGTTAGTTAGGTGTGCAGCAGGTATGTGGCTATGTACATAGCCACGGTCTGTTCAGGTGTTGGATTTGGAGGTGTGGATCAAAACAACCAAGGGCCACGTGTTTTTCACGTGTTCATGAAGGCGGTTCCCATCCGTCCCCGTAATGGGGACTAGTGGGGGGGTGTCATTCAAACCACTAAAAGTTATTCACTTTTAGCAGGGATCTGAGGACAGTCCAGCTCAGGACTTTTTGCTTGGGTGAAGTATGCACGGAAGGTCGCCCAAATTTCTTTGGCCCTAACATGGTGTTCCTGTTTGTTTTCTTTTTGGAAGTGACCAAAAGGGCGCTTCCTAAACAAAGACGCGTATACACAAACATATATATATAGAGAGAGATAACCTCAGAGAGCGATTTTGCAAAAGTGGCTGTTGATTTTCCACGACTATCACTTCGCCTGAGTTGATGGTTCAATCCAAACCCCGACTTTTTGCCACCAACATGGTCCAAGCCGAAAGTTTCAAGCCCAGGAACTCGAGTGTTTGAGTTCTTGGCGAAGGCATCCGGTCCCTTAGCTTTTTAGATCCTTTTAGTGTTCAGAATTGGGTTTCCATTTTAACCCACTCACAGTTAAGCAATTTTAGCAGGGGATCGGTTTGGTAGCCCTAAGCCCTCTCCCCATGTTCCGCGACCAAGAGGCAAAGCCAATGGCTGAAGGCGGAATAAACGGCAGCCGGGGAGCAAGCTTGGTATATACCCCATACCTACCTCCTACCTCCTACTATGTGTGGTATACCCACCTCATCGAAATCTCACGGCTGAACACAGATCATACACTTCCATTCGCTTAGGAATATGTTATATTTTCCCTTGCTGGTTTTAAAGGGAATCCATCACTACTGGATGCGATAAAAAAAGAAAAGCGAAAAGACAATGGAAGTACAAGTTCGCATCAACATACCACTTCAACATACCTCATCATATGTGTGGTATACCACCACCTCGAATGTGCTACGCCTCAACACAGTGGATTTCCACCGCCAGATCCTGAAGAAGAACCTGGCCGAGCGCTTGGTGAATTTGCTGCCATCGCCGGAGGCCGGCTGGCCGGGTAAAACTCCCGGGTTCGCTTCGCGTTGCTTTTCTTTTTTTGGACAACCTGAAGGTACTTGAGATTTGAATCGGTTTTTCTTCAGGAAATCCAAAGGCCTGCTTTAGTTTGGTAGGCTAGGTCTCCAGCTAGGTGCCCTTTTACTCTTTCTTGGGGGAGGGTTCCCCTACTCAAATAGACTACAGAACAAAAAAGGTACCCATATTCTAACCTCTCTACTGGAGGACCTAGTAGGTAGTCCAACGAAACACTGTTGCCCCGATGGCTTCCAACTAGGCGCCTGAGGAAACGGTCCAATCACCAGACGAGGAACTGAAAAAAGTTTTTGATATTTTGTTGTTGAAGCAAAATCGTGGGGGCCCTTTTCGTCTCCTGTTCAAAAAAGGACAGGGCCCCTTCAAATCAGACAACTCAAGCTGCCGGCAGTCTCCCACCATTTGCAGGGAGTTGTTTCGGGTTTGGGTTGGATCTTTAGACTTCAACACATTTTCTGAAATAAAGGTGTTTTCTACTAAAACCCCCAAAAGTGGTTCACTTTTTATAGGGGGGTCCTTCCAGCAACCAAGAAGTGAGAGAGCCCTGAGGCCGGGCCCTACGCCGCCGGGGCCTTGGCCAACCTCACGGCGGGCTCCGCCTGCGCGGCGCGCGCCGCGCTGCGCGCGGGCGCGGTGCGCGGCCTGCGGCAGCAGCTGCTGCGGAGCTGCCAGGCGAGCGAGCCAGCGGGGCGAGCGAGTGGAGGGGGTGGGGGCACAGGGGGGTGGGGGGGTGGGGGTGGGGGGGGTGGGGGGTGGGGGGTGGGGGGTGGGGGCCGTTCCGCCTGGAAAAAAATGCGACCCCCAAAAGGGGGGTTTAAAATGGGGGTTTATCCTTTACCTGGAGTCTCTGGAGAGCAGTTTAAAATGGGGTCATTACCCAAAATTAAGGGGTATACCGCTTTTTCTGGGGGTCATGGAGACTGTAGCCTGAAACGAATCCACAGCCCAACCTTTCCTGTGTCTTTACTATTTGGTGCTCACGTGGGTGTGGCCAGCTGGTTGGAAGGGAACCCGTGTGGACTGCATCAAACAAATATTATCTCCATGAGTTGTTGGACTTCAATCTTTCTAAACCATTTCAGTGGTAGATGAAAAGTGTCGGACTTTCTTTGGGCCCGTCCACTCCGGAAGTGAGAACGTCAAACCCACGTGGGCGTGCCAACCCGATCATTTTGAAAACAAGCAAGGAACCAATAATGTTCGAGACATCCGCAAACCGAGACAACCAGTTTTGGGTTTTTCAGAAAACCCCCAAGCCCATCTCAGACCCGCGCCCGCGTGCGCCGGAGGAGCACGAGGTCACGGGCCAAGGCTTCAGCCTCGAAGGCTCGGTGGAGAAGTCTGCGGCCGTGTGGGTGTTCCTCAGTCGCAACCGACTGAGGGTTCCTTGCCCCTGGGAAGGCGAGGGCAAATCTGAGCCAAGTGTTTTCCATGGCAACACTTGCGGAAAAGAAATGATCAAGTGAACAAAGCACAAAAAGAATGGCAAGGAACCAACTTGGATGGGGTAAATCATGGTGGTGACATATAAACCCCCACGGTTTCGTATCATGGTGGTTTGAACCGCAGGGGAAGCGAATCGACCGGATCTGACGGGATCTCGTTGTCGCGTTTTGGTTCGTGACGCCTCCGATGTGTTTTCGTGGGTCGAGTCTGTTTTGGAGCCTCTTTTTTGCCCAAAGCCACCCTTTTGACCCTTTTCTAGGGGTTGTTCTTTTCAAAACCCGGCTGTTTCCCCTGGCTTTTTGATGGTTTCCTGAAAAGATCCGGATCCCTGGGTTCTGAATGGAAATGGAAGGTACCCCTAGACCTTTGCTTGTTTTCTTGTTTTGGCACCCGGCCTGTTGGGGTGGGCTGAGGTTAGGCGCCTTGGGCCACATCTTGGACCTCAGCCAGGACCGGCGAAACCCGAAGACACGGCAGGTTGGGCCCGGGTCGGTTTAAAGGCGTTCATTTGCCAGGGCTCCTTGGAGAAGTTCCTTTTGAAACACGGATGGCTTTTTCAACACCAAAACAAAGGGAAACCAGCATTTACTTTTGGCAATGTTTAGGTGTGTAATGTAAGGATCCCTGTTTGCTTAAGAAGATAAGTTAGGTTAGCGGAAATCTATCACAGGAAATATGTTCTCAGTTTTTTCCAGGCTTGCGCAAAATGGAAGAAGGGAAGACAAAGGCAATGCATTTTGGGACTGAACCCCCCCCCCATGTCCCACCAACAAAAACGTAAATGTGAGGCGAGTTAGGCGAGTTTATAGTAGTTCCCAGCATGTTGCTTTTCAGAGACACATTTTCTGGGCTGCTTTAGCATTAAACCTTGACCCTGATGTCAGGTAGTTGTGGTTTTCCTTATCGTAGCGAGGTCCAACTACAGTTTGCGATTTAGGATTGGGTCACATGCAGTGGGTCTAAGTCTGGCTTAGTTCTTGTATAGGACTCCGCCCTACCACCAACCCCAAAGGCCTTACATGGAGGAACCAAGGTTTAGGAGGTTAGGGGAGAGAGGCAGTTGCAATCCTAAGTTCTCACTTCCCCAGTTTGACTTTGTGGAAAGGCCATGTTCGGGGTAAACAAAACTCCCGACTTGTCTAGGATCTTCTTTACAGTATGTTGCGCCTTCAGGTCAAGAAGAATCTGCGGATGGACCAACACCTACATGAGTTGGGACACAAAAAGCTCTGGAAATAAGCCCAGCCCATGCATCCAGAACATGTGGGGCGGGTTTAAGCGGGTTTAGGTTAAGGCTGTGGGATGCCTCCCCAGGTAGTCTGGTTACGCTCTCGAGTTCTGAGTCACCTGTGGCCTCCCCAATCGTGCGGAGTTGCTAGTGGATGAGAAGCAACCTGGAACCTGACGTTCGAAATCCGGTCTCTTCAAAAGGAAAATGGTCCAAGCCAGGACCGATTCATCCGATTCCCCGAAACGTCGAATGGTTCCGTGTTAATCTTCTGTTTGCTTGAACATATGTTTTTGTTTTCCCTCTTGGTTTTAAAGGACATCGATCACTACTGAAAATATGTTATATTTTTCCAGGGGCTTAAGCAAATGGAAGTAATTGGTGGCAGGGTACTAACCTGGCCGAACATCCACGTGGCCGAACGGCTCTCCGCTTCGCGTGAGGACCCCGCAGCCGTGCGCGAGGCTGCGGCCGCTGTGCAGCCGGCCTGCGAAGTTCTGCGCAGCGGCGAGGGGGCGGTGCGCCGCTGGGCTCATTTGGGTGTGGCCGTTTGTGTTCAAGGTACCCGTTTGTTTGTTTTCTAGGAAGCCAAATGGAAAACCCAAGTCCACCTTTCTCAGGTTTTTGTGTGTTTTTTTTTGGGGGGGTACCCCTTTTTTCCATGTTTGTAGGGGTACCTTCCCTATTCTTTCCAGTGATGTTGTTTTCCAAAACAAACATGGGGAATCACCCCCAGTTTTTGTTTTGTTTGTTTGCGGGGTCCCCTAAAAAAGACAATTCCATCCGAAAAATGGCAACCAAAGGAAGCTGTTCATGTTCAACTCACGAGTTCCGTTTCGAACTGAAGGTCCACGGTTTGAAACAAGGACTCCATGTACAAGACTCTTACCTCTTAAAAACACAACTTTTCAACTTTTTGGGGGTAACATGGGCTATATGTCTGTAAAAGATTAACTTCCCCAGGGCTTGGAGTTTGAAGGGGTAAGGACTCGGACAAGTAGCAACGTGCAAGAGGGTAATTCGTGAGGGCTACTTGAAGGATACATCCCAAAACCACGCGCTGTACCAGGGCGTCCTTGAATCAAATGCTTAAGGTATTGGCCCAAATGTACCTTGTACACAATTCTTGATATTTCCAAACCTGAACTCAGCGATCCCCAAAAGACACACCGTTGTAGCTTTCGTACACCCAAATCGTTGCTTTCGCCATGACTTAGGCAACGTGATTCCAACCATCTCCCTCCAGTATCCAGGTTTCCTCCAAATGCGCCACAATCAAAACCCGGGTAGATGAAGGTTAGTAAGGGACAGTCCCAGCCATAAATAGCTGCTGCCGCCTCTGGGTCGACCATTTTAATAGGCTGGAGTCGGGCCAGACTTACATCCCTTTGCAAACCAACAAAGGCCCTCATACTTCCCCCAAGAAGGACACTCACCTTAGGGTCCAAAAGGCAGACACCATAACTTCTGATCGAGTGGATGGGCCAAAAACAGTCCAACCTTTATTCTTACACGAAGTCCAGGAACTCAGGAAGTGAGCATTTGTGGGCCAGGGTCATGGTTGTCCGTCAACGCCTAGTTCAAGTTTCCGAGGTAAGCGCGAAGTTGAGGGGTCAATCAGCCCAGCAATGAAACCCCCTTGGCCACTGCACCTTTCTTATCACGTGCCTCGGCTCCGTGCTGGTTTGGGTACGGAAACCTGCCCCTCAGGGTGACATGCATTTTCCCGGAGGACGCCCGGGATCCCTTCGGGGCTGCTTGAACTTCTCAGTATCTTCCTTTCCTTTCTGGGGCAAAAGCTTCATCCATCTCGCATTCAAGAAGAAAGTCCCTGAGGCCCTTGGAACAAACGTGGCAACCAGTTGTAGAATTGTCGACCAGTTGCTGGTTCCCCTAGGGGCCGTGGAACGTCATGAAATGACCGCGAGGCACCACGACTGGTGGTTTCCTCTAAGGGCTTCATGCCCAATGCCCCTCTAAAAAAACCGGGCGGTGGCTGTATGGAGCAGGTGTCTTCTGCTAGGTTATAATTGCATAGCTCTGATTTCCCTGTTATGAGATTCATGGTCAAAGGCCTTCATAGGCCTTTTGCGAGTTTGTTTTGTCGACCTGTTTCATGGCCTGCATAAATCACCATCATATAGGGTGTGTTTCCTTTGAGAGGTACCCGTGCGTGTGTCATTGAAAGGAAAACAAAAGGACAACAACTCATTTTTTAGCCCCCCCCCCCCAAAAAAAAAAGCAAAAAGAAAAGAAAACTGACACCCTCTCAGAACTGGGCCTCCCAAAGTTAAAAGCAACAAAGGTCGATTAGCTTTGGGCACGGAGGTGACATCGCCGTCTTCTGCCTCGCCGCGTTGGACGCCGGGTCTCCGAACGCGCCACTGCCTGCGTTGCCAAACCTCGAGGAAGCGCTCGCGAAGGTGGAGGGCCCGATGCGGGAAAAGGCGGGGAGTTGCACCCGCTGAGCTCATGGACCTTAAATATGTTTCTCTTCTTTTTTAAGGGCCTTTCTTTATAACTTGCTTCTTTGAGACCGCCAACTCGCCAAGAGAGCATGCCTGGGGCAAAGCTAAAGAAAACCAGCGGCGCGAAGGTCCTCATGACCGGAATTTTGATTCCCCCAAGGGTCTCGATGGTTTTTGGGCCTAAACTGGTTCTTTTCCCTGAGGAATTGGTCGGGGTTCTGTGCATTTTTGGGGGTCCGGGAAGGGGGGCCCTGGGAAGGGTCGGTAGACCCTCAGGGTTGGAACTTGCTTTCGTTTTTGCCGATGCGCTCAGGAAGTGAGTGGTTGATACTGTTGGTTGGTTTGTGTTTTGTTTCCGGAACTCCAAAGAAAAAGCACTCTTGTTTTGAGGGGGTTCCTCTTTAAGAGGACACACCCAAATGAGCAAGTGTATGTTTTAAGCACATCTAGGGGAAAGCAATATGACAAACACAATTGTATTGCATTTGTTGTTGCCTCTTTGTTTTGTTTGTGTTTTTTGGGGGGGGAGGGGGAGTGTTGATCCTTCCAGATTGTTATTTTCCTTGTGGTGTTGCACTGGGTTTGTACTTTTGTTGAGGACATCCCGTTTCAGGTTGGTTGGGGAAACCGAAAAGAAAAGCACCGTGCGAGTCTGGATCCAAATAGGGAGCCGGCTATGATTGAAAATAGTGTTTGCATCTGGGCGACCTGAACATGGGCATCCCCGTTTGGATGCTGTTGAGCGGGAAGCCTGATGGAAGCTATTACAACCTGAGAAAGTGAAGGTTGAGGAACAGCAAGCAAGAACAGCATGGCTTTGGTGTGACCTTAGCGCCACAGACCTGTGTTTCTGTTGGACCTACAATCGACAACAGGTTAGACCATTTGCTCAGGAAAAGGAGAAATCCACAAAGCCTCGGCAAGTCCTTTGGATCCTGTACAATATGTTTTTGGCTAGACCCCTGTACTAGGTGTTTCTCCAGCCTGTTCTTTTGTAGGGGAGCCCTCTTTTGGTTGCTTTGCAAAGGGGCCATATGGGGGATAAAACCCTTTGCAAAGGGACACCAAAAACAAGACCCACCATTTTGGGCCAAAGAATATGGGGGATGAAACTAGACACCAAGCCAAAAAGGAGGACCCACCCAAAACCCTAAGCCCTAAACCCTAAACCCTGAGCCCTAAACCCTAGACCCTCCGTTTTGGCGCGCCAAAGAAGACACACCAACCCATTGCTTTTGACTCACCCGAGGCCTTGCAACTCAGGCGCCGCATGCCGCGCTAGAGGCAAACAAAAAGCGCGGGAGCGAGCGAGCTGAAGCCGGGGGAAGCGGCGGAAAAGTTCAAGCGGGGATTTCAATCGGTGTCTTAGCGTGGTAAAACACCGCTTAATGGATATATGTGGTTGTTTTTTGGGTTGAGCCCGTTTGATGTGTGGTTTTAAGGGGAAACCAAGTATCTCTTAAAGGATGCATTTTTTTGGGGGTTGAGTGAGGGAACCCCTTTGTTTGTGGTTTTAACACTTGTTTGTTTGGGGGGGGTCCCCTAAAACAGACACACCCACATTTACGAAAAGAAGGCACAGCATAGCGGCCTTTGGTTTCCAGGATTCCCTTGTAAAGGGGTTTTGGATGTATCCCTTTGAGGACCCTTTCATCGAAAAGTGTTGCGTCTTGCTATGATGATGGTGATGAAGATGCTGCTGAGGATGACAATGATGATCAACTGTAATGTAAAGCAAGGTTTGCGTGGTAATCACATTGACCGTTTCCTCTTGGGTTCAAAATTCACAGATCCCCCCCTGATTTTGGGAGACCCCGAAAACCCCCCGTGTTTGGCTTTCATGTATTTGTGTGCTTTCTGCATGGCTTGAGAATCAAGTGAGCCGCAATCAAAACCCGGGTAATTGGAGGGTAGTAAGTAAGGGACAATCCCAGCCATATTTCGGTGCCTTTGCCTTCTTAATTCTTTATTTGGACATCGACCATTTTGGTACCAGGTTTCGCTTGTGAGTTTAGCCAACTGTTCAAGCCAGTTGGCTTTGAGCCAAGGGCAATGGGCCGTGCTGCTGGTGTGCGGGAGTGAGAACTTCGCATACTGCCAGCTCATCATCAGGACCGGACCCTGGGTCCCCCAGAAGTGCCCGTTTACTTCTTTTTTGGGGAGGGTTCCTATACTGAAATAGACTGCAGACAAACATCGGGTACCCTTATTCTAACCTCTCTACTGGAGGACCTAGTTATGGTCCCCTGTTGGATTTTTGTTTTTCCCACGGGACGGCATCCTCTCATGGAGGGAGCCCCTCATTCCTGTACAGGACTTGGCGGCACGTACACCTCTGGTGCCTGCCGACCAGTGACTTCAGCCGCCAAGCCTATGCGGACTTCCGG